TTGGTGGACAACAGTTCGGACGATTCCCCGACAAAACTGAAGCTTCTGGAGATTTGAAGAGCCTTCTGCCCGAAAGGCGTGTTACTCCGAAAAGAGTTGTATGAACTGGCCACTTAATTTCACGGCCTTGGCAGGGAGGGGGAGTCAAAGGCCGTATTGAGGGTCTGAGAAGAGCGAATTTGTCCCTCCTCCCGTGCCCCATCAAAGTTGTCGTGTTCAACATTGCCAAAATGTCCCTTTTGAACACTGAGCTCTTTGCGCACACGTGCCCCTGACACATGGAACAGGTTGCAAGTGGCAGCCTCGGTCTTGAGATAGGCCCGCAAACACTTTCCAAGAAAACACACGTCAAGAATAATTCGCCCACTGTCAGGGGTAAGGGACCCCAAATATGTTTGCGTACGCAGGTTATACATATATCCAATTTCAATTGGGCACCCTTTGGCGGACACCACTTAGGTGGGGATGAAGTTGTGCACCAACAACTTCTTGAAGGAGTTCCAACTGTTCAAGCTCATAGCCACAAAGACAGGTGGCCCACCAGAATGCTGAGGGTCAAGCATCGTGAACCAATGCTCAGGCATTAAGTGTGGCGGTTCCAGGCGAAGGACCCGTTTCGGTGGCCGCAGGCGAAGCCTTTTGGGGATACCAAGGGCCCCTCGTTTTCACAACCTGAAAGATATACAACCAGAAAGCTTTTCAGAAGTGTGACAAGATACTGCAAGTTTCTGAAAGCTTTCTGTGTCACACTTCCTGGCCCAGCGGCAGACCAGCGCGAGCCGCATCGGGTTCGTCGCTTCGCTACATTAACTAAGGTGAGTCATCACCTTGAGCCATCCCTCGAGTGCCATTTTCCGCCACAGGGACAGGTCAGGAGCCTGGGCGAGCTGATAAATGCTCGACGGGTGAGGTAAATGCGGCAACTGAAATGCGCCAAGTGACGCGCCAGGAATCCGTTTGGTCATGCGTTTAAACCGTTGATCCAGCTCATTTGAAAAATCACCACATGAACCCCCAGAATGGGTTTCCCTGTGGCTTCCCTTCAAACGGACGCCACCCCCCCCCCCCAAAAAAAAAAGAAAAAAGAAAAAGAAAAGAAAAGAGCAATACCGATCCTGAACATGAACACACACACACACACACCAAATTCGAACTACGCTGGGCGCAAGCAAAAAGCCGTCGTTGAACAATTCGCCTCGGCCCCAAAGGGGCCAAGGGCGCTCAGATCTCTTCTCCAAAGAGAATCTTCGCTTTTCCCCTCCCCCAACCCCCTCCCCGACCAAAATTTTGCCGGGCCGCCCCCCCCAACCCATGTCGGCTGGACCCAAAATCCTGTCCGGCGGGCCTTGAAATTTTCGGGGTTCGTCGGCGTCCAGCTCCATGGGTCCATTTTTGTCGAAAATGTGCTGACAATTGCGAAAATCACTAAAAAATTGCTTTTTTGTCCTGAAAAGCATGACCTCCTGGTGGCCAGGCCTGCCTGACGTGTCTGAGACTAGGCTCAGGCCCAGCCCAACCAGCAACCCGCCTGCTGGCCAGGCCTGTCAGCCCCACCCAGCCTCAGGCCCAAGCTTGTCTGAAACAGGCCTACCAAGTCATCCAACAAGCCCAGCCCAGCGCCCAGCCCAGGCCCTAGGCCGGCCCCAAGGTCAGGTTTGTCTAACGCCAACGACCCAGTCTCACGTGTCTGAAAGAAACTGGTGCCAGCCACCAAGCCCGTCTGACGTGCCCCAGCCCCTCAGTCCGGCTGCCCAAGCAACTCAGCCCAGGCTGGCCAAGCCTTGACCTCCTGCTCGCGTCTGGCCCCAAGTCATCCAGCAGGCCCAGCCCCGTCTCAAAGTACGCCAGCCTAAGACTGGCCTCAGGCCCAGCCCAGCCAACTCGCCACCCAGCCTCAGGCCCAAGTGTGTATGAAACAGGCCTTGCCCATCCAGCAACCCGCCCAAGCACAGCTCAGCCCAGCCCGCCCAGCCCAAGTTCCAGGCACAACCAGCAGCCTGGTCCGGCTGCCCGGCAGCCAGCAACCCACCCATGGCTTCGCAGCCTTGTGGCTGAGACTAGCTTCAGGCCCAGCCCAAAGCCTGCCCAGCCCAGGCCCCAGCGCATCTCAGGGCATGCCAGCCACTACCGGCCCCCACCTCCCAGCCCACCAGCAGGCTCAACCCAGTGTGCCAAGGTCAGGTTTGTCTAACGTGTCTGAGACTGGCCTCAGGCCAACGACCAGTCTCACGTGTCTGAGACTGGTCTCAAGGTATGCCAGCCTGAGACTAGCCTCAGGCCCAGTCCCCTCAGCCCGCCTGCTGGCGTGTCTTACGTGTCTGCGACTGGCCTCAGGCCCAGCCTAGCCAGCAACTCGCTACCCAGCCTCAGCCCATCCAGCGACCCGCCCAAGCACAGCTCAGCCCAGCCAGCCGAAGTTCCAGGCGCAACCAACACCATAATCCAGCTGCCCAGCACCACCCATGGCTTCGCAGCCTCGTGGCTGAGACTAGCTTCAGGCCCAGCCCAACCAGCAACCCGCCTAAGCCAACCCCACCCAAGCCCACCCGGTTTGAGACTCGCAGGCCTCAGCCTATCTAGCGCCGAGACTGGGCCTCACCAGCCTGGGCTCAACTAGCGTCTAGCCCAGCCCAGTCCGCCTGCTGGCCAGGCCTGTCTGACGTGTCTGAAACTGGCCTCAGGCCCAGCCCAGCCATAGCCCAGCCCCCTCAGTGCGGCTGCCCAGCCCGCCGTAAACTAGCTTCAGCTCAACCAACAACCCACGCAAGCAAGGTCCAGCCAAGCTGCCCGAGACTAGCTTCAGGCCCAGCGCAGGCTTATCTGATGTGTCTGAGACTAGCCTGTGGCCCAGCCCAACCAGGCGAGGCCGGCTTGTCTGACTTGTCTGGAGCCAGCTTCAGGTATTCGGACCTTCCCAACACTGGATTTCGGTGTTCCTGACCCTTCCCTCAAACTAGGCTGGGCCGAGGCGGGCAACGCGAAGCGTTTACAATTAGGTTCTGGACCTCACACTCCATGTTGATTTGTAGGGGCCCGTGAGTTTTGAAAATACTTTTCGGAGACCAAACCTGGATCCCAGTTTTCACCAATTTGGAGGATCCCACAAGTCTTGACCAGACTTAGACCTCCCCCGCACAAAGTGAACCCGCTTTCCTGGTTGAAAGGACAAATGAAGGACCTCCCCCCCCCAAAGCCAACAACAAAAACCCATAAAAATCAACCAAGGCAAGCCAAGTCCGGCCGCCTGAAGTTTCACGCGGCCGCGGGTTTTGCAAAACCTCGGCTGTTCTCCGCGACTCAAATGAAAAAACTTCGGCTGCCTTCAGCTGGCCTCCGACCATGGCCGCTCACGATAGCGCACGGGCACGCGCCTGGCCCCGAGCCGAGCGAGTTTCTGAGGGGAGTGGCACCTGGAAACCAAAAGAGACCAAAAGGACACCCATATACAATATCAGCTCTATATATATATATAGAAAATATATATATATATATATATAGAAAATATATATATATAAATCTTTGTATACCCGTCTAATTCTATTCTTCTATTCAACTCCCAAGAGGCCTGTTGAAAAACGGACCAATTCCTTCGAGAAGCAGCGGGAGTCTTCCTTTCGCGCGCCCGGTCCAACTGCCTTTTTTTTTTTAATTCTCCGCTGCATGGGAATGGGCCCCAGTTTTCAAAGGAATCTTGGCCCCACATTTGAAGAACTGGACTGTAACCCTTGGAGCCGGGGTCTTCCGTCGGTCTCTTTCAGGGCCCCAGAAACATCTGAGCAAGGATCCCGGGGGCTTCGAAGAATTCCTGGGTTCCAGCCGAAGCCGATGCACTGGGGCAAACACGCCGATCTCTGGATGCCTGTTCCGATCGAGAAGTGCTCACTCACAAATGGCATTGCGCATAGCGGACAAAAGTAGGTGTTTGCCCGTGGGCAAACTGGGAAGGGCCTTGCAGGTGTTTGTGATTATTTTCATGCGTGCGGGGAAGGAGGCAGGACTTGTTTGTCACAATCAAAACCAAGTATTCAAATGGTCTACCGCCAGAACCACGCTTCAAGAATTAAGCAGGCGACGGCAGCTATTTATGGTTGGGATTGTCCCTTACAAACCTTCACTTACCCGGGCTTTGATTGTGACTTATGTCCTCTCAGCAACCTTCAGCTCATCCGGGGCTGTCGAACCTTTTTGCCAGGCCACGGACCCCCCAAAAAAAAATCCACACGCCATGGCTTCGGTTTTCGCGATTTGGGCAGCTTGGAACCCCCAAGCCACCGGGGCGCAGCCGAGCCGAGGCAACCGACGAGCCCCGCCTTTTGAAGGTCGCGTCCCGAACCTCGGAGCTTCTCGCCAGGGACCTCGAGGCCGCGGATCGAATCGGCCAGACCCTAGGGGCTGCACCACCAGGCCCAAAAGGAACCCACGACGCCCACGTTGTAGAGGACAATCTCCTTTTTGGGAAATGAGAAAACCCCCTAAAAGGGGGTTCCATGTATACAATTTGCGGAGTTATTGTCTTCTCCAAATGTCGACGAACCACTTTTGAGGGGGCTCCACATTAAACATCAGAGCCAGCCGGTGCTTAGTGGGTGGTGAGTTGCTAGTCAGTGAGTGGGTCAGTGGGTGGCGCAGCGGCTGGGTCAGTGGGTTGATTTCAACTGAACCCTGGTTGATTCTTAGGGTGGTGTCCCCTTTCCCAGTAGGTTTGAGGGAAAAGCCGTTTGATTGAGAAGTTTTAGGGGCCATCCGGGCAAAACAACCAGCCATGATCATTGGGGAGTGGTCGATGATGAGTTCCTGGTCACTTGCGCTGATCTTCGCTACCAAAACGCAAAGGGGATGATCATGCCTCAGGCATGGCTGTGTCTATTTCTTGGGGGAGAACTCCATTGGCGGTTTTCCTTTGTCCTTCCCTAAACACAGGGGTATTTTACATGGCTTTGTCCTTTTTCACAATGGAGCCCGGCCATTTGGGTGGCTTCCTGCGGTTCCCCCCCCCCCCCCCCCACACAGGAGCTTGCCTCAATCTGCACACCAAGCCGAACCCTCAGCTCCGAGAATGTCATGCCCATGCAGGATCCGCAAAGTCACCTGTGGCTTGGCTTGAGCCTTACATCCCAGGAGGCCCAAGGCATCACCGCCAGCCCAAAAATAGGGGGGCCAAAGCCCGGTCTGCACACCAGCCGCCGTTTTCGGGGTATCATACGTCGTTAGGCTTGGGCGACGGCAAGGCCTTTCGTTTTTCCTGGGAACTCAACCAAGGATGGCATGCCGTAGCATTTGCCCCAAAACACGTGTATGCTTGATTGGACTATCTAGCCAGCTTCTGGCTCCATGTTCCGCGAACCTTATCAAACACAGAATATGAAAACGGCTCCCATGCGAAGCACCGCGCGCAATCCTCAACGGCTCTGTGTCATACGTGATCCCTCGCTTGGTCGCCAAGAAAGACCAAGTCGATTCATTTCTGTGGACCATTTGAGTCACTTTCTCAAAACCCGGGATGAACATGGGCGTCATCCCAGAACCATGCTTCAAGAATTAAGAAGGCGGATATTCGCAGCTATCTTTGGCTGGGATTGTCCCTTCCTAACCTTCATCTACCCGGGTTTTGATTGTGGCTTATTTCGGGAGATCCGTTGAACAAAAGTGGCAGCGCCACTGCGCAAATCCAAAATCAGCCTCAAGCCGAAATAGTTGGAACAAACATTTGAACCAGGCTTGTGGGCCAATCCCTTGTGTGATTAATCAAACGACTCTTTTTTCAACCTCCTCCATTTGACTTCCCTTGACAGGTGGCTGGGGTCCATTTTTGCCCTTCTAGCTCCTCCGAGAGGCCGGATGTACTTCAGCAACTGCCTCAGAATGCGTCGGAAGTGTCAAAGAAAAACCTCAAACAAACACCTAGCCACGGGTTCTCTTGGTTTCCCTTTGGCTTTCTCTCAAAACAACACAAACAGAATACCCACAACACCGCACACACCACCGGTGGGATGCCCAAGGGGCTCTAGGGGAGCGAGGAACACTCAATGGAGTTGTGACAGAAATTTAAACCAAATTAAAGGAAATTAATTTGGATGGAGTTTGAGATTTGGATGGAGTTGGAGGGAGTTGGATCATTCGGCCACAGTTTGGCCGCGTGTTTCAACTCTCGCATCTTCGCCCGGTAGCCACAGCAGCGGCGGGAAGCAAAGAACGATGCCCAGTGCCAGCGTCCAATAAACGATGGATTCCAGAACAACGCCAACGTCGATGTGGCATTCCTGAGCTGGCAGTCCTTTGTGTTCTCCAACATGGGACCCCCCATCCCCCGCAAAAGGAGTTTCCTCTACGGTTTTCGGATTCCATCTTGGTCGCCGCTTTCAGCTTTGGGGAGCGAGCCGGTCGTTCTCACGTGGTTGTCTATCGGAATCGGAGACCCATTAAACCGCGCCAAGAGGTGTGTTGGAGCCCTGGCCGAGGTTTCAGAAAACCACCAGAAGCCGCGCGGATTGACAGGAAGCAACCGTGATTTCCCAACGCACCATCCCAGGTCCCACAGAGGTGTCGTGTCACCTGCGATTCACCGATTCACGATCCGTCGCCTTTTCTAAGATGGCGGCCGGCCAGAAAGGTTTGTAAATCAACAAAAACAGAACTTGGTTGCGGTTGATCCCCCTGCAAAAAGTTTAACTTTTTGGGGGTTTAGTGGAAAACACCTTTATTTCCCAAAAAGTTAAAATCTAAAGATCCGTTGCCGTTGCCCAATAGCAGTTAAGAGAAGACCAGGTACAACGGTAGAACCACCTTCTTTCACATGGCCCCTTTTGAATCGGTTTTGAGCTCTCCTAGCAAAGTATTGTCGCATGTTTTGTCGCGTTGAGCTCAGTTTTTCTCCCAACACCATCCTAAACAAAGACTAGGTCCTCCAGTAGAGAGGTTAGAATAAGGGTACCCTTTTTTCTGTAGTCTATTCTATTAGGGGAACCCTCCCCCAAGAACGGGTAAAAGGGTACTACTGGGGGACCTAGAAGAGGCCCACGACACTCTCAACTGGCAAAATCTCCAGGAGATTTTAACCACTGCTGAAAGCTTGGGGTCGACAAGTCCAAATTTTTGCTCTGGGGGGTCTCATCGGGGCAGCTTTCAGTGCGGGTTCCGGAAAAGTTCCAGGGCTGTTGGGGACACCACCTGGGCTTATTTGTGATTTGGACTGCTTCCTGCAGACTCTAGTTGCTTGGAAACTGCAATGTCGGTTTGGGATATCTCGGACATGGCCCTGAGACGTGCGAACAACAAAAATGAATGGCCGGCAAGTTGAAGCCAAAAACAAGCCTCACAGAGTTCCAAACGACTGATGCGCTTCCCTTTCGCAAAACGGTCTTGTGTACTTCCATGCTTCTTGGTGGGTGTCTTTTTGTGACAAAATCGATGGCCCTAGGTTATGAAGCAACAATGGCCAACCAGTGCCATTGACTGCCCAACTCGCTTCGCTCGCTTCCGAGCGGCGGCCCAAAGATGGAAGCCCACCTCAGGCCAAAGCTGCGAAGTCCTTGAGCCCCCCGGCCCGAAAAAAGACACAGCGCCCATTTTAGGGGTCCACCGCTAAGAGACCCCCCCCCCTGCAAAAAGAAGGGGGAAGAAACAATTGCTGGATGACTTCCATTTGCGTTTTCGCCCCTGGAAAAATGAGAGCATATTTCCAGTAGCGAAATCGATTCCTTTTAACACCAACAAGGGAAAATAACAAATCCGCCGACCCTCTGCCTCCCGTCCCAGCCTCCTGCAGAGGGGACCGGCGTGGGATGCAACTGGAAGTGATTGGAATCAATGATGGTCCCTGGGGTGCACGCCCGAAAGTACAAAAAGTGGATTCCCAGGACCGGTCCTGGGACCAGTCCTGGGACCAGTCCTGGGACCGGTCCTGGTTCAGGACTGGTCCGGTCCCAGCCGCTGGTATCGGATCCCACTTCAAACCGCTGCAGAAGCCCGGTGCCACCTCAAACAGCTCCAGACACCTGTTTTTTCAGTGTCGCTGTTTCCGGACTGGCACCCGTGTTTCAGGACCGGACAGGGTCCCAAGTCCCAGTCCCTCCCTGCGACCGGTTGAGGGGCACCGACGGCCTTGTTTCTAGGACCAGCTCAACGTGACTTGGGCGCGAGCCGGCCCGTGCGGTCATTGACGGACGAGCTGCCGCCTGTCTGACTTTTCCGCTAATCCTTGTGGTAGTAGAGGGGATCTACTGCCGGCGACCGGTCCAGGGCCACTAGGGCCACTGTCGCCGGGGCAGTTTCGGGAGGGCCAGTTTCAGGGCGACCCGGGACAGGCGACTGCTCCCGGGCCAACTCGAAGTGACTTGGGCGCAAGCCGGCCCAAGCGGCAATTAACGGACAAGCTGCCATATTTCTGACTTTTCCGTTAATCCTTGTTTATAATCGTAGAAAATCTTGTAAGTGGTCCCTGGGTTTGCGGACGTGTTTCAGGACCGGTCCTTGTGACTTTTCCCTTAATGCGCCAAGGGTCGGCGGCAGCAGGCGGGAGCCTGGTTAATATTCTTAAACAAATGGAAGTTATCCCCCCCCTTCCCCGTGCCCCCGTGCTGTCTTTTGGGAGCAAAAGTCCGCCCGTTGCCCAGGGTCTACCCACGCCTGCGAATCGAGTTGTCCACTTGGGGATCCAGGCGATCGTAAAACAAACTTCTGGTGCTCAGTGGGCCTTCAGGGTTTTGGGAATGAACCTGGGGATTCCCTTAAAGGAAAGAATACATGGATGGTTCTCCTCATTGTTGAGAACCAGGTTTCCACCTGAAGGCTCCGCAGTCACCGGGTTGATCCAAAGACCCGCATGGCAGACCGTTCGGTCATCTTGGAACGGCGCTCCGCCAACCCTGAAACATGGGTGAGTCTTTTGAGTTGGTACTCTTTTGGTGTGGTTTTTTAAAGGGAAACAAAAGGACGCCAACCATTTTGGGGTACTTTAAGACACACCCATGTAGATGTGCCCTTGGACAAATGGCATGGAATCCACTGACACACAGGCAGGGCCTTTTCTGAAACCAGTGAAATCAATCTGGTTTTCTTATTCCATTGTCAAAGTCACCCTAGGTTAAAGGGACGAGCAAACCCTGGTTGACGTTCATGAACCCCCAGTCAAAACACCCTTCCCGCAGACATCGCGTCCGTTTTTGGGTGCCTGGAACATTCTCATCTCCTTCAAAAACCCTCCGGTTCTTGCCAGAAAAAATAAGATCAGGCGAATTTCCCCAACAGCACCACACCCTCCCAGAATCCTCGCGGAACCCGCCTCCGGACCCACCTCGCCGCCGGTTTTGCTGAGGATGCTGCCTTGTAACTTTAAAAAAGCAAAGCTAAGAGTGACAGCGCAATTGCGTCCTGATCGGGGCCCGACGGCGCAATCGGGCCTCGACGGTGCAATCGGGCCTTAACGATGCAGTCGGGCCCCGACCTGGGCCCGGTGAACCTCGCAAACCGTCCTTGTGGCTCGTGGAACTCAGCGTGAAACTTTGTTGGAACCTTCCTCAGGGCTGCCCCATAGCTTTTGCAGAACCTGGTGGAAATCGCGTGGAACCTTTTTGGAACCTACCCCCTATCCCTCTCATCCTCGTGGACCCAAAGCCCGCCAGTAATAGGCAGCATTGCCAAGCATTTACTTTGCTGCACAGTGAGTCCCGCAGCGACGTGATTTGATTTGCCACAAAGCCAACATTTCGGGCCGCGTTGTCGGAGCAAGTGTGCAAGTCAAAGCAGTGAAAGTGTGCTGAAAACATTCATTTCGGTTTTGCTTAGTGTTCCACCCATGAGAATGAGCACAGCGATCTTCTGAGCCCTCAATTTACTGCTCCGATGGCTTTTCAGACGGCGGGCGCACGACACATTGTTTGTGGAACCCTTGTGGAACTCTGTGGAACCCTGTGAAACCTTAATTGAGGGCCGCCCTGGACCATCCCGCAGCCCTCGCAGAACCTGGTGGAAATTTGGTGGAACCCATGGGAACCCGCAGGGAACCTTACCTCAAACCACCCCGGACCACCCCGCAGCCCTCGCAGAACCTCGTGGAACCCTGGTGGAACCCTGATAGAACCAACCTTACCTCGCAGAACCTGGTGGAACCCTGGTGGAACCCTGGTGGAACCCTCGTGGAACCTTACCTCAGGGCCGCCCCAGACCACCCCGGAGCCTATCTGGGCTGAGACCCCAAAGCTTTCAGCTGTTGGGGAAAAATCAGTCCTTTTTTTGGGGTGTGTTTCCTCCAAGAACCCTCTTTGTTGCCAGAAAAAGAAGCCTCGCGTCCGTTTTTTGGGGTGTTCTTGCTGCAGGGACCCTCGGCGATGGCAACCCCTGATGGAAACCCGGCTGGCCTTGCAGCGAAAGTACGCCTTCACCAGCTTCCACGAGCTGGGCGCCTGTCGAAACGAGCCTGAAGTTCTCTTTCATTTGGTCAAGACCCCTGGAAAAAGTAATAAACATGTCCAGTAGTGATAGATTCCCTTTGAAACCAACAGGGGAACATAAAGGATATTCTTAAGCAAATGGAAGTTCTTGAAAGTGGCCCAGAAACCAATTTTTGGCAACTTTGAGATATGGGGGGTTGGACCATTTTGGACCATTTGGGTGGATCGCATTTGGATGGGGTCTCATTTTGGACCCCTTTGAGATTTGATGGGCCATGGTGGACGAGGACCCCGGAAACGGGGGGGGGGGGAGGACGATGGGCCGAGCAAAATGAGGTCCCTTTCAAGTCATGTTTTTTTTTTTTTTTGCGATAACCAAACCCAAAAGAATCCATAAACAAGAACCTTGATCTTCCAGGACCCTGGAAAAGCAGGCCTCTGGCCGAATTTCTACTTGAAACCAATATCAATATTGGGGAGGACCCTGCTTTGGCAGGTCCTTGGAAGGTCAAGGGAAACCCTTCATCCTTTGCTCGCGAAAGGGACAAAGTGCGCTGTGAGAGGCCTTGGAAAATGGGCATCGAGCTGAAGGTGAGTTGAACTCACAGATTTTGGCCCATGAATTTCCTAGGTCCAGCAGAGAGGTTAGAATCAGGGCACCAACTTTTTCTCCGGTCTATTTTAGTAGGCGAACCCTCGGGAGAGAAGGGCACTACTTGGGGGACGTAGTTTCAATCGGAACCCCCCAAGGTGCTATCTGTTCACCTCATCTTTCATCTATCGAGTCTTTCGACTATCGATCTGTCGGAGCCACCTTGACATTGGGTTGATTATGTCTGAGTCTCATTGCAAAGAAGCTTGAGGCTTAGGGCAGTTGGGGGCGGGGCACAACTAACAAGCGGCCTGGGGCCAGTTCTTTGGGCATCCTGAACCTGAAAAGGGGGTTGGGCGATGGTCGACCCCAGTTTGGCGGAAACGCGGCGTGATGGATCCAGAGCATCTGCTCTGATGACTAGAATTCACCAAGGTGAATCAAGGAAGCCACAAGGGATCTCAGGCTTGCTTTGGCCCCAACGCTGTGATGGCGGAGGATATCCTCAGCATTTTTCAAACTCCAGATGTCGCTGCGCATGTTACTCCCCTACAAATGAACATGCTAATATGGAACTCAAAAGGTGGGGTCCCTCTGCAAATGGTGCTTTCTTGGGTTTCATGTTGCTGGTAGGGGAGCAATCCAACCTACCAATCGAACCCAGCCAGCACGATGAATCCCTTTCTTGGACCGGCAGATGGGCAAGGCATCTTGTACGTGTGCCGGCCAGTCCCGCTTCCTGGTGAAGGAACATCCACACATGCCTACCAAGCTGTTGTCTCAAGTCGAGCGATCCGCGCCTTGTTGAGACGGGGCCTCACGCCTCAGGTGTGGAAGTTCGCCAATCCAACCGTTGAGACAAATCATTTGATGAAGCGTTCCAACTAAACATTGAAGAAAGGGACCCCAAGAGCCAGTGGAATTGCTCGCTGGAATTGCTCGAAACCCCATGGTAGAACCATGACCGCTTTATCAAGCGGGATTCAGTTGGCCACTCACATCCCCCTCACAAAAATGCCACACACAGACACACACACACACACACATGCTGCCCCCACCGGCATCACCCTTTACAAAAGTTCTAGACTGCTCAAGATACCCTTATGGCTGGCTTCTACATTCCTTCAGGATACCCTCCCTCCACTAACATGGCACCTGGAGGGTACCTGGAAGCTAACATGGAAGTTCACAGACCCCTGTAGAAAGACTACTTTCCTCTTTGGAACGGGGCCACATCTGCACTTCCATGTTGGTGGGAGGCCACCAACTTTTTTTTTTTTTTTTTTTTCGGTTTTGTCTATTTTAGTAGGGGGTTCCCCCTCCCCCAACAAAAGGGGTGAGAAAGGACACGATCCTGGGGGACCTAGTCAGGCTACCCGACTGTTTCCCCAAGGGCTCAAGAAACCAAGCCATTGACTCAGCTGAGACATCGCTCTGAGCCTCCCGCGAATCCTCACCAACTCGTGGTCCGTGGTGCGGCACCTTGGGATCTTTCCAGCCAAAGGGTCGAGGCAAGGTCTGGGGATGAGGCCAACACGCCTTCAGTTTTCTTTTCTGGTTTAGCATGCAGCGTTTGGTATACAGCGCTTTTGTTTCTTATTTTTTTGGTTTAGGCCGCGTTAAAAGCTCAAATTGATGGTTTTTGACAACTAGGGGTATATACGGTGTATACAGCGTTACAAACCCACATTGGTGGTTTTTGACAACCGTACCTCCAAACAAAATACCTAGACATGCTGTGGAGATGGAAGCAAGGGACAAGATTCCTAGGTTCCGTTCTCATCCCACAATTTCATGGTGAAACAACGGGATGCTGGGCTGCCGTCCCAGAATGAACATCCTCCAAACTTGACCAACCACATTTCCTGTTCCTGACAAATCCGTATGTCAAACCGTCATAGCAACCTACTGCGTCGCCATTCAAGTATCCGGACACCGAACTATGCCTCCGGGGTTACCGCGTTACCGCCGACCGGGCCAACCATTCTATATGCCCGATTGCAATAGCCACTTCGCGTTAGTTCTTGAAAGGTTGCCTCCGACCCGGCCTACTTCAGCATCCGGACTCTGTGAGATGTTGGGGCTTGGAGGCTGCATGGCCGGCTGCCTTGAGGTACTTTGTTCTGAGGAATGGAAGGCTGGAGGACAGGAAGACTCATGTTTCAAGCTGGAGGGTCGGATCCCGCAATAAAATCGCGGCAAGGGGCAAGCGAATTCGCGGCGCAGCTGTTGGCAAGGGCTTAGGTTTCATGACGCCCTTTCCGGGGGGAAGGGGTCTGATCCGATGAAAACAAACCTTTCATAGCTCTCCGAGGGCAGCCTCGGCCACTTCAAAAACATCCGACCTAACTGTTTTACACTCCGGAAGCCTTGGCCTGGCCCCCATCTTCAAATGGGTGTGGCTCGAAATGAAAGACCTACAGTTATGCAGGTTTTACTCTTTGTTTCAATTTGCCAAGGTTGCCAAGGTTGCCAAGGTGCTATTTTGGGAACCATTTTTTGAGCCACAGCCAAATGTCATTCCCTCACTAGTCTTACCCCTTAAAACTCCAAGCCCTGGGAAGTTAATCTTTTACAGACATATAGCCCATGTTACCCAAAAAGTTGAAAAGTTGTGTTTTTGAGAGGCAAGTAGTTGCAACCGCTAGGTCGATGCCCAGGAATGGTCGGGAGGACAGCGCGCCCACTGCCAAGAACCCGATGTCCGTCGAAAGCATGGTCTCTCAAATCCTATCGCACCAGCAACGAATCAGTTCATCAACGCCCTACAGACAGCGCATGACCGGCCACAGAATCTGGGTCCATTAAAATGACAGTCGCAGAATTACCCTCTAGATGGCTCGGTTTTGAGAGAAACCCTTCACCATTTAGACTAGGTCCTCCAGCAGAGAGGTTAGAATAACGTTTTCAACTTTTTTCTGCACTCTATTTTAGTCGGGGGTTCCCCCTCCCCCCAAAAAAAAGAAACCGGCGAGAAAGGGCGGCACTCCTGGGGGACCTAGTAGAGGAACCTTTTGGAGAAGCCTTCCTCGCAACATGTCTCTCAGTCGGAGTCCGCGGATCCGAGGCCTGGGCAGCTGCACTATACCGTCCTTCAGCTCAGCGGTCTGAGTGTCTATACTCCTGGGCCCCATGGGCAACGCCCGACCGGTGATCAAGAAGCCCCTGACCAAGAAGCACCCATTTCTTATGAAGGGGGGGTTGGCTTTTTTAGTGGGGCTTCCTTTCCTTGAGGGGACCAACACCCCTGCAAAAAGAACCGGGGTGTCATTAATCAAGATTCAATAGTACATTTCTCTCGGGGAAACGTGAGGGAAGCACATCCCTTTACGGGCAATCCTTCAAGGGTTGCGATGTGGCCAGCCGCGGGCGCAACAGGCACTGTTCGACTAGAACGCAGCAGTAAAAAGCGGGGACCGAACAGTTCGTGTCTGGTAATATGAGTCTGAGCGCAAGCCTTCACGCAGCGCAGCCAGAAAACAGAGCAAACAAGCCACAAAAGAGAACCCAGAGTATGCGAATCTTTTCGTGCGTACACTTCCACTTCGGATGTCGGGCACGCCGTTCACCCTAACTCTTTTGCCCTTTTGGCTTTTCTCTTCTTGCGTCTTTGGGCTACCGCGCGCTTAGCGCGCGGCATCTCGGACTTCTCTGCCCGTCTCTTTCGGGCGAGTGGACGCACACACACAAAGATACGGAGACACATCTTCCTGAAACTTCAAGGCTCAAAATCCTGCCAACATCCGTAAAAAACAAAGCCCACCATGAAGGACGCCTGGACACTTGAAGCTTCTATCCAGGCCTGGGTTGAACTGATCATGTTGAGGGGGGTTCTGCAATTACCTCGAGGTCTCTTTGGTTTTTTCATAAAACCACGATTTGGAGGATGAACTTGACCTAATCTCCTGGGCCCTTTTAGCGTTTCTTTTTGCTTGCCGTGTCTTCGTCCATGTCCTTTCAGGGATTTTTTGTCTTTTTCTCCGGCTTCGACACAAACCAAAGGCCCAGCCGTCCTCTGCAAAAACTCCGGGTGCTCTTTGGTCACCACATCCCTTACCGCCATGGCCGCCTGAGAGCCGGTCGGCGCAGTTTGGAGATGCCGAGGTGGGTCAAGACCGTTTTGGTACCGATCCCATTTTGGGGGGGGGGGTGGTAGGTGAATTCGCCGCCCATTTTAGGCTTCCTACTTTCGTGGTTGGATTGAACCGGATGTGAAAACTGGGGGGCGACCCGCAATTTGGCTCTTGAGAAGCCCATGGCCATGTCGAGGTTGTGGCTGGAAGCCCTGTGGAAAGCCGCGGAAAAAAAAAAAAAAAACTTCAGGATCGAGACTCGGAATTGGCCGCAAAATGAAACCAGGAATCGGACCCCAGGAATTCTACCCCATGTTTCCATTTGCCGGGGCTCGCCACCCATTTTGGGGTCACCTGATTTTTGACCACCACTGCCATTCCCACTTGCTTGAAGCCGAACCAGCTCTTGCATAGTTGTGGGAAGCTTCCAGTTCCAATGCGCTGGTGGCAATTCGTCGCACCCTTTGACGCTTAGCTGATCGAACTGTGCCGGCTTACTTGCACACCAAGGGACGTACGCCTCACATTCGGGTCTTCAGGGTACGAAAGATTCGTCGAACGAACCCCTCCCTTTTGGTATTTGATGGCAACTCAAAGGAAACCCCACGGGCCATTTTAGGGGAGCCCTCTATGACACCGGGCAAGGAACGGCGCGGGACATGTCGCCATCGACTTTTTGTCGCCTCCCAGTCATAGCTCTGGAAGTGTGGCAGCTTGTACATAGGCGTGGCATCTATGATGGCGCAGCCCCGCTCCAGCGGACCTCGCTCCAAAAGTTTTTTGTTGACGCCCACAGGTGGCCCTCCCCAACCAATGCCGCAATTGCCTCCAGATCGAACTCTGCTAGGGCCACACAATGCAAGATGCTGGACGTCTTTCACATCGAGATTTATGCCCACCTCCCATTTGCTCATGTGCTCGTTGTGGCAAAATGGTCCATCCATTTCTGTATTTGCGAACTGTCCCTGAAAGCCAGCTGGAGGTTTGAGGGCCTTTCCAGTAAAATGAACCCGGAAAGGATCCAAAACGGACAGCTCCAAGATAGTTTGATCAATATAATGTGCGAAATAAGAACGTCGCTGTGCTATGAACATGACTCAACTTGATGTCACAACCTTCTGAGTATCGAGGCTCTAGTCCAGGGCTACCTCAAAAGAACATGCACTTCAAATTGTGATGATGCTTTACACTGCAAGGGCAAATATAAGGCACCCTGTGCTAAGTGTTCCCCTTTTGCGGTTTAGTTTCTGGGGGCTGGGGAAGGGAAATCCCAAAAAATCCCACCGAGCCAGGGGATGCAAACCCCAAACCCCTGGTGAAGTCTAGGGCTGTCACCCCACTTGGTGATTCAAAAGGAGCAATTTAGGGACCCTGGGCATCCCGGTCCTTTGCTTCTTTCTCTTTCTTCGCTGAGGCAAAAGAACAAAACAAAAAGTTCCGCGGGGCTTCGCTTCGGAACCCACCCCCCTCGCCAAAAACCAGCCCTGAGAAATAAAATAAAACACCGGATCCAGGGTCCCTCCCCTCTCCCCCCCACCCGGTTGGGAGGAAAAAACCATCGCGAACCGCTCCGCGGATGGTCGCGCGCGTTCGAAAGCTCCGCACCAAGGAGCCGTGGAGCTTCGCGGCCACAAAGCGGCACCAGAGCTGGTCCATGCCGAAGTCGCTGCCGAGACCTGGCCGAGTCGCCGACCCAGCGAAATCGGGTGAGACGAAACCTGGGTACCTACTCAAAATGAAACCACCAAGGAATTGGACCCCAGGAATTTTCGTCCATGTTTCCATTTACCAGGGCTCGCACCCCATTTTGGGGTTATTTTTGACCACCACAGCCACCTGTCCCAAGCCGTGGAAGCCGAGTCATCTGCGGAGCCGGGGGAGACACATCGCTGCCATAGGGTGTCCTTTTTGGGGGGATTTTCTTGATGGATATCCCTGGCAGATGGAATAAACCACCAGGTTGTTAAACCAGGCATCGCCCTCTACTTGTTAGGCAAACCAACCAAAAGGAGAACTATGATCACTTTAAGGTGGCTTGCGATTCTGTGCGATATCGGCAGGCAATGAGACATGGAATGAACCGTTTCGGGGGATTCCCGAAGAAAGGAAGGGGATGATTTGTAGGGGTCATTCCCTCATTCGCTGAGCACCAGCAAGACGACTTGGGTGTGAAAAACCAGCTTAGCAAGTAGGTTATGACCATGGTGTTTCTGGGGTTGCTAATGCTAACCTCCCAAGAAACATCGATCCCCAAAAGGGGGCCATTTCCTCAAAAGAAGATTCCGAGCGGAAGATGCCCTTGTTCTTGGGCTTCATGTTAAACTGCAGGGGAGTGCCCCCGCAACAACAATGGAACCTCCTAGGGTCTGCTAAAGAAAATGGCCTTCCAACCTCTGTGCAGGTTCTATATTTCTTTTCGGGAGCAATCACTTTTTGGGACGTGACAAGACATGGGCCAGCCCAAAAGGTTGAGTCTCCCGAATGCTACAGGGATCCGAGAAAAATCAAAATAAGTCAATCCAATATGAGCGCTCCCTATTTCAAACAAAAAAAACAATAACGACATGTCAACGTCGGATTCATTGTAGGGACATGTCCTGTAGTCGGGTCGAACCAGGTACGAAATATGTCGGATCTGTGTGAAGTGTATCAAATGTCCTAGACGCCGCGCAGCTTCCGTTTTGTTTTCTTCCTTTATAATCATGAGTAGTATGATTACTATTATTATTATTATTATTATTAGTATTATTAATATTATTAATATTATTATTCTTATTACCATTTAATATATTATTATGACTATTATTATTGTTATTATTATTGTTATTATTACTGTTATTATTATAATTATTATTAATGTTATCATTCTTAGTAGTATTAAATTTTGAATCTTGAATCCAAGCCTTGCACAGGGAAATGCTTTGAAGCGCTTTAACACATTACATATGGATCCTTGCTGGATTCAAGACTCTAAATGTGAGTTCTGAGCATCGGGCATCTTTTGTCCAGAGATGCTTTAGAACCTTTCAGGGTGCTAGAGTTTGGACTAAAGATTCGAAAAAGCAGGGTAGCAAGCAAGCCAACTTCTATCTCGCTGGCTGAAAAGGAGTGTGCTGGAGGGGTTGGTTGCATATCAAATGTGTGAACCATATATATATATATACATATATATATATGATTTAGCCCAAACCACCTCACGGCCGATGAGTTCAGGCAGGCCAACCAAAGTTGCCATTTCCAACGAGTCACCTCCAAAAGGTGACCGTTTGGAGTTCGGACCCGCTTTTCGAGCATTTAGCTGGTCTTTGATTGGAAACCGCCAGGCAACTCTTGCCATTCCACCAACTTTGAGACCGCCCCCGCCCAACCTTGCTGGTGCGATAGGTAGGGAATGGAAGGAACACAGGGGTTTTACTGAAGGAAAAACCCACCAGTTGGATGGTAGATGAAAGGGGTTCCCTAAATTCTCAGTTTTTTGCCGATCTCTCCCCCCCCAGACCCCTCTCCCCCCCTGGACTCCCCCCCCGAGCGAGCCACGTGCCTGGCAGGTAGAGCTTCCAGGCCACCGGCAAGGCCGGGGCCCGGAACAAGGGGCTCATCACCTCCCGCCGCGACGCGACGCAAAGAAGCCCACCAGAGCCCCGTTGGATTTCGGCTTTCCCGCCCATACCCGCAGTCGGTTTCTTGTTCGGAAAAACGGAGGACCAATTGCGCAGTCAGGATTCATGTGAGGAAGGGGGTACCATCCCTTCACTTTTAGTCTGAAAATTTGGTTTCCAAGTGCAACGTAAACCTCACGGCTGCTTTTGGTATGCACAGAACCTGCCAGGGGCACGGAGTTGAGCCCTCAGAATCTTTCAATCAACATGCGTGTGCAATCCATCGTTGCAAGTCGTCTTGTCTGCGTGGCCGCATTCTGTTATCCATCGGCGCGCATTTCACACCGGCAAGTGATTGTTCAAAGATCACGGCAGGAACCGAAAAGAACAAAACCAAAAAAAACACGCAAAGGCATTGAGCCGCCCCAAACGGTGCTTCTATGTTACTTGTCAGGGGAGCACTCATGCTCTTGATTGCGAGATGACTCAATGAGCTAGCATTCAAATTTCAAATCCACCGTCCAAAAGCAACACATTCACACGCCCAACAAGGACCACAGCTCTTGGACATGAATATGCGAAGAAGCTAACAATACCCTAGCATTCGTCCTCAAAATGGCGAGTCTTTTAGGGGCCAAAGCAGGAGGGCCTGATTTGTTTCGCAAATCAAGCAAAAAAAAGGAGTCGCCTGTCTCCCACATTTCTGCTATACTGGGCCTACTTGCCAGTGGCCAAAAGAGGCCCAACTCATTTTGACGCGTAGATCAGTCTCGCAAGCAAGTTTATTTGGGAGGTACAAGGGACACAACAGGGGACAATGGTTGGTTCTCTTTGGTTTCCCATGGAGCACCATTTGGTTCATTGGTTTTCTTTGGCTCTCCCTGCTCTTTTGCTCATCTTTGGCCCCAACGGAAGGTGAACCCGGGTCCCTGGGTCTGGACGGTGTCGAGAAGCCACAAGCCAAGCATGAAGGTCCGGCCACCAAAAGCTGGAACTTGGGCACCCTAGGCTGGCTGGGGTCCTTTTGGCTTCTTTCACACAGGTACCCTCCATGTACCCTCCAATGCGCCACACCACAAAGGGCCTCTCATTCCCCACATCTCTGGAAAAAAAAAAAAACAAGCACCAAGCTTCCGGGCCAGAACAAAAACACGCCAACTCCAAAAAATCTGGGGAGGTGCCCACTTCCTTTTTGGGCCAATTTGGCTAGGTCCTCCAGATTTGAGAGGTTCGAATAAGTGGGTACCGATTCTTTGTTCTGTCGTCTATTTTAGGGGAACCGCATCTCCCAACCAAAAAGTTGGTAAAAGTTGGCACTACGAACCCTCACCCAAAAAGGTTGGGAGAGAAGGGCACTGGACCTGGGCTTCTGGGCTCCCCCGGGCATTTTCAGACACCCACCGAACTGGCCTCCACAAAGTCGGAGTAGCGGTAGACGCTGCGACCTCGGCGAACGAGACCGGCCGCCCCCCCAACGCCCCCGGCCGCAGACGCTTCCCTTCAACTAAAATCAATCCAAGCGGCAAAAGGGCATGTGTTCCTCAAACACGGTATTTCAAGAAGAAGTAACCAGCCCAAGAAAGAGCATTCTTTTTCTTTTTCCGGTTTCAAGGTATGACATGGAGGTTTCACCCTGGGCTTGTTCGCGAGTGTGGTATGGTAGTTGGGTCCTATTGGCTTCTCTCAGCACACGGATTGTGGCTCAAAGTTACGCAGGGGTTCCGCAGGTTTTAGTCTTTTCCATAGATCCATGTTGGGTGGACCTCCCTAGGCGAACCCAGGGTTTATTTCAGCCTGAGGATTGGATACCAAGCATTGTGGCATGGCTTCTCAAATTGGGACCCCAACCCCAAGAGGTGATCTATATTGGCTCTGTGGCTGAACAGGGGAAGCAGTGGGGTCACTCGTATCCACTTGTCACGCAATCCGAGCAGCTTGAGGCTTGCCTCTCCAGCTATACAAGGCCAATTGGCCAAATGCAGTCAGACTTCTTCTCAGCAGCCAACATCAAGCTGAACACACTCAGTTCAATCATGTGTTTGAACACAATTCACTTTTTTGAGGGCACCCATGGCTGCTGCAAAGAGATACCAACAGACATCTTAGACAAAGCTGCAGTAGACACAGCCACATCGCTCACTAGACAAACCCACATCTCTCAAACTCCCAGCTTGGTTCCTTCCCACAGAGCCAAATTCACATCTCTCGCCGCTCGTCTCACCGAGCGGCGGGGCGGCCCTGAATCCGGAGATTCCAGCTCCAGCGGGTCCGTGTTGGCGATGACAATCTGGTCGTGCGCTCGGGGGGCAGTCGGGTCGGCGGTCGGGGCCCCCGAAACCTTCTGAGTTCGCTTCAGCTGAACGCTCCAAAAAGCCTGACAACATGCGAAGATGACCCTTTTTAGTGGGAGCGAACACACATTTTGGGCCGGAAAACACATGCGAACATGAGGAGAAAAAGCTGAAAGAAATCAAAGTCTGACCCAAGAGGTAAGGAAGGTCTAATGCATCCAGCAAAGCTGATCAATGGAGTACTGAAGTAACTTCGTCTTGCAAGGAGCTCGGCAGACCCCCGGAATCAACATCAAAGGTGAACGATTGCGGGCCAAGGCGGCTGCATCGCTTCGTTCCGCGTTCAAGAATGAACCCCCGAACACGTGCTTGCGGCGGCTCTAAACGAGCAGTTGGGCGTCCAAATCAACCAGTCTAAGCTGCACTGCCCCAAGCCGGTCGAGGACCCTTCGTGCGGGCTCGGAACCTCGTGAGACGGGATGCCGTGGCTGTCGAAATCAACCTGAGGGCGCAAATGTGTTTGGGACGCGGTACTATGGAGGTGAGAAAGAAGAGCTCAGACGTTGAGCTCCCCTGGCTCAATTGTCCTCGCTGAAAACAGTGTGCATGCCGAAAACAGTGCGCAAATCAGCTCAAGCTGTTGCAAAGCGCCAACTTCAACAAATCCCAGGCCAAACCTGGCTCAAGGAAGGGCCGTTTTTTGCAAGACCAGCGATCCTCACTCGACTGGGTTTGTTTCCGCAAGGCGCAGCCGGCTGCACAATGTTCGCCCCCGACTCCGCGGCGAGGCTGAGGTACCCTCGTGCGAGCGACGAAGACGTGGGTTCTAGGTCAAGTCGGGAATCACAACCGATGGGTATCAACAGGTGCACTTACTTCAACCCTTCGACCAGTTGTTCGTAACTTGTAAGCATGGGTATCAACAGGTTAACGCAGATGTAAGGAGACTTCCACGAGAAGATGGGTACGATGGGTCGTGCTTGCTATTCTTGCCCCAAATAAGGGCATTCACCCTCACCCAGGTTACGTGGTGAAACTAAGAAGCCATTTACCAAGTATCCTAAGCCTGTGTTTTCTTCTGAGTCGGGTTGCCTTTCTTCCAATAATCATAAAGTGGACAAGGGAATCTTTGAAGTGGATTGCAGTGTTCCACACCCCTTGTGTTCACTTCCACTGTTAAGAGGATAGTTTACATGTCAAGCTGCCAAAAGGTATAGTACCCTTTGTGGAACTCCTTGGAAGGCTGCACTAGTCAGCAGGGTTCCAAAAGAGACTCGACTTTTGGCCACCAATCATATCAATACTTGCCCTCTCTCTTGATCAAATGGGTGCGCTTTCAGCCGGCTTTCCAAACCTCTCCCGAATTCTCCCATGTGCTACACTGCCAGAGACGCCCCAATATACTGTACAAAGGCATGGAACGCAACAGAGTGTCTCCCAAAAGAAGACTTCTCGAAAACTGATGTTGGGCTCCCCGAAACCTGATGTTGGGCTCGGCAACCTGTAGTATATGTGGATCCAAATCGTTGCGCCAGTCAAGAGTTGGCCCTGCCAAAGACTCCATGTGTCGAAATGGGGAACTTCGATTGAACAGAGAACATCAGGACACCAACATTCATCTGCTCAAAGGACCTCGACATTGAGGGCTGTCCTTTTGGGAATTTGACCAACCCAAGAAGGGAAACCTGAAAAGGTCAAAGGGTTGGCTTCGGACAACTTATCCATTTGGGTGTCCCTCTTGATAAGCGGTCACTCACCGGACAAGCAACCAGGTAAAACACCTGTGAACCATACCTGTAGAGGCCCTCTTTTGATGCGATGATGGATCTCAGTGCGATGAACCTGACCTGCGCTTCTGACAAAAGCCACCACCCAGAAGCACAGGCCAGTTCTTTTCTTTTTAACTTTTTCATTCGGCTCTGAGCTGAAGGTTCCCATTCGACCCTGGAAAGGAAACGCAGGACTCCTTTTGCCAAACTTCGACAAGGGTGATGATCATCATCTTATGGTTGGGAGCAATGTCTTCTGTCACTCTGATCCTACGCATGTAGCCAGGTGACGTTTCACATCCAGCTGCGAAAAGTCGATGTTGTCATCAGCTATCCAAAACCAGCAATAGCCAGTGAGGCCTCGGTGGCCCGCAGCATGTGACGAACTTGTGACAACATTGAGGACCCTCTCTTCCCCTCAACAAAGGCGCTTGGATAGTGTCGTGGTGTTCAAACTGCACAAGAGTGCTTGAAAGCTCAACAACGTGCCCAGTTGGTCCTTGATGTCTTCGGGAATTATTCCCAAGGAGGGCAACCACTTTAGCAAGTGGGTGTCTTAAATCGCGCGGGCCTCCGTTTGCACCGTGGCTTTCCTGACTCGGACAGGGAGCCAAAGCTGCCACCCAAAAGGTTTGAAGAATCGGATAAGTGCTTCGGGTGCAACCATTTGGGTGGCTTGTCTTTTGGCTCTATTTAAAATCAAAAAGGGGGTACCCTCAAAACAGACCCCCCCCCCCCATTTCCAAATTGCTGTCATGATTTCATGCCTTCCGCCCGTTTCTCAGGATTGGAATATCCAAAAGTGGCAGCCTCAATGGAAACCAACAGCCAATGCCAGCTAATGAAGGCGAAACAGCCATTCGAATGACTCCAGCCTCTGAGAACCTTTTCTTGCAGTGTTCCCTCTCCAGCCCATGTCGATATAAAGAACAGGGACCCAACACCAGGATTACTTCCAAGAACCGAGGGCAAACAATTGCTGTCTGATGGGGAACCAAAGAAAAAACAACCTTTCACCCTTAGGCTTGGTCACATGTTGAAGGACCAATCCCCACCCTGCTCGTTCCACCACAGAGACAAATGGCACGGATGTGATGACGACGACCGAGTATTTTCAGAGAGAGTACTCTGCCGTCGTCATCACATTCGTGCCATCTAGCAAGCAAACACACACCATGAATGACTTGGACGCACCTGCGCTCGAGCTGAATGTGTCTCATGCAGTGCAGCAAGTCAGCATGCATGAACACCAAGCGTGCAATTCCGAACAAACGCGCAAAAACAGAAGGTAACAAGTGGGCTCAAGCACCTACAAAACAACTCAATTTCTCTATTGCCTTTCCGAAATGTAATGTTTTAGCCACCCGAAATTCAACAAGCATTTGCTTGAAACCTCAACAACCTGCTTAGTTGCTCCTGGATGTTTTCGGGACACAGGCAACATCTGCTCATCCCAAGTGTTGTCTTTCGAGTAAAGGCCGACCCGTCACAGGGATCTTTCGGCTTCAAACCTGCGGCCAGTTCCAAGGCACACCCGCTGCTCTGTCCGAAACAACCACAACCAATTTGGATGTCGCAACTCGGACGGAGTTAGGTCAGCAAGCTCTCTGAAAAAACTTCAAGATGGCCTCACAGAGGGTTGTTCATGAGTGCCCATGTTGAGCTGAACTAACCCGGTGCTGAACCATGCTTGAAAAGAGCCTTGGCCTCCATCATCGTGACATCTCGCAAAGTTGCAATGACAATTTTGCCAGGGATCTAAATGTGCGTTGCTTAATCAGCTCGTTCAGCACAAAGCCAGCTTTGATGTCGTGGTACCTTCCGATGTGCGGCAATGACGGCATGTGACTCACGCGGACTCACGCACAACCTGCTTCGCGTGGACTGCTGACACACGCTTTGGTCAATGCCTGAGACCATTGTCACCAAGCCTCAAGCAGCTAAGCGGCTCCACTTCTAATTGACATGCTCCCATTTGAGCGCTCCACATAATCATGACCCTGTGCCTATTGCGTTCGGTCAGCAACACAACTGCAATTCACTGCAGCTCCAACCAATCAATTAGCCACGTGTTGCTGAATATCACCTAACTCAGCGCGGATCCTTGGCAGACCCAACAACGCTCACATCTGGGTCTTTTCTTGAAGGTTCTCAAAAAGGCGGCGTTTTAAAGCAAAAGGCAAAAGGACAAACATGGACAAATCATTTTAGGCATCTGTTTCAAGACACACCCATCTCTTTGGTTGCCAACTGGTCACAGAACGACCCTCGCCGAGGTGCGACACACTATACTTGACGGTCTGGTTGTACCAGGGCTCCTGAAATGGCGCGAGGGAGAGAGACTGCGAAGGTCTACAGGAGTTGAATGACCCGGCTGCTAACTGGTGGTTGCTGGCGGCGGCGGCGGCGGTGGTGGTGGTTGTGCTTTGGTTGGTTGGTTGGCGGGTTGGCTTTTTTTGGGTTGGTTGGTTGGTTGGTTGGTTACTTGGTTCAAGTCGGGTCATCCTAGTCTCAGTTGCCCAAAGGACATGGACATGAAAGGTTAACCTTTGGAACCTCGACTATGGACGAAATCAGGGAAGCCAAATGGTTCGATTCAATTGTCAGCTTTGGGAGAGTGAGTAGTACATCTGAGCTTTGGCACCACGTTGCGCCATGCAGCACATCCTTGTAATCTTAGATTTCGAGGATGCTCTTGAATTTGGCTGGCTCACAAGAGGTCAGACTTTCGGGGCAAACAGCCAACTTCATATAGATTCTCCTGTTAACCCTTCGGCTGCAAACCGTCAAAGGGAAGTGTGGATAGCACGGCAGCAACTTTGATGTGGCAGCGTGGCCTGAGGATGCTGTGTCTCCGTCAAGTGGTCTAGCTATCCTTGCAGATACAAGCCGCGAGGGCATCAAGAGACAGCAAGTGAAAATGAAGGCCAAGAGGGAAACCAAAGGACACGAGGATAAACATAGCTAAACCAGGAAACAAAAGGAACATCATAATATGAAATGGACATCATAGGAAACCAAAAGAAATATCGTATGACAGCAAAAGGAACAAGCAAACAAACCGAAAGAACACCAACACAGAACCCAAAGGAACTAACATGCACGCGGGCTGTTGGCAGCTTTCTTCGTGGCCGGTGTGGTAAGGCTGCCTCCTCGCAATTGTGAGTTGATCGCCAACATTGGCCGCAGTGCTCTAAGCTGATGGTTGCCGAGCATTGTACATCCACATCAATGCTTGATGTGCTGGCAAACTTGATTGACATCACAAGACATTGTGTCACATCAGGTCATAACACGCATGCGCTCAAGATGCTTTGGTCGTCCCTTGGCTCCTGCTGCCATTTTGCCAAATCCTTTCCTGAGAGGAAAGCCAGCGATAGCCGGATAGGACTAGGGAAACACTTCTCGTTGCTGTTATGGTGCTTCTTCTGCTTCTTTGTTTTCCTTGCTCGACTTCTTCGTTCTCTTGTCATTGCTCAGGCAATCGTTCAGGACAGGGGAGAATGGGGTTGAACAAGTGGGACTGTTTTTTGTTATTTCAGGGTACCCATTTTGGGTGGGTTTCAATCGGAAACCAAGAGGAAAAACACCGTTGTGAAGGGTCCCCTGAAAAAAAAAGCCGACATGATGCAAGCGAGGAAACCTTAGACATTTCCACAAGAGTAAACGGCCATTTCGATCAAAGTGAACATTCGCAACAAAAGGCCCCAACGTCCCACTCTCGAGCTCTGGTCGACTTTTACTGGCTAGCGAAAGCCGAATTGAACAACTCAATTGATTCAAGCGGACTTGTCGAAGTGATCCGTAGCCCGCAACTCCCACGGAAATCCGAGAGAGAAATGGCCATTGGGTCAAAATCACTTACCCCCAGTGAACATCCCAATCCCCACTAAGATAGACTAAAATGGGTGGTGCACCTACCCCAAAATGGTACCATTGGTTTTGACCCACAGCCAAATGAGAGCGTCGACATCTTCCATCTGAATCCAATGAACCTGCCGCTGGCATGACATGGGACCTGTCAGAAGTGGCCGAAGATCACGGGCCCCTGACATATGGCTGTGGCTCAAAAAACCGGTACCAAAATGGAACCCTGGTAAGTGGAAATATGGACCAAAGCCTGCGTAACCCCCCGTGTTTAATTTTGAGCCACACCCATATTGGGGGCTTCTCAGAATGGGGAAAGACGCCCTTTGGAGGGGGAGAAAATCCCCATCCATAATCCGGACACCAGGTAAGCCACGACCATAAAATGGCTTTTGGAAGCCACTTTTTAAAGGGGGGGCAATTCTTTGGATGAAAGGAGAAGAGCTAAGTTTGGCTTCTCAGGATGACTGTTGCGCTGTTGGGTTGTTGGGCTAATGGTTCTGAAATTTTGCTGGGCTGTTGGGCTCCTTTCCGGGGTATCCGTGACCTGATGCGAGGGGCGGTAATGCGCCAGGAAGATGTCCACCACACCTCCGCAAGTTTGGGCCGAGGTCTGTCATGGGCCGCGGATCAAAAATAGAAAACCCGGTGGCAACCCCCCTAAAATGGCCCGCCCTGGAAAATGGAAACATGCTTCTTTTTTTTCACCTGCGGTCATCTGCGGTCCAATTGCTGGTGGTTTCATTTTGACCCATACCCACATACTCTTCCCAAAGGTGGATGGTCGTTGGGTCATTTCCGTGCCCTCCATTGAGAAAAAACGGTAGAATGTCTCCCCCAATGGATGCGGTTCTCTTTTCACTTTCCGAACACCCCGAAAGCTTTTTCCGGCAGCTGAGATTTCCGCCTGGGAAATCAGCTCCAAGGCCCACAGGCATGGCAACTGCAACTGGGCCCTCCAGATTTGAGAGGTTCGAATAAGTTGGTACCAACTTCTTCCCGGTTTGGTCTATTTTGGTAGGGGAACCGAATCTCCCAACCAAACAAGTTACGGTAAAAGTTGGCACCTAGCTGGGGGACCTAGGCAAAAAACATAGGACTTGACCACTTTTATGGGGGAAAGTTACTCATCCGGAAGCCACTCATATTGATCAACCAGATCGTGGAGCAAAACACATCGTCCCAGGTTTGGGCAGGTCTAGCTGGGTCAAACTTGTCCAAAGCCCCCCGGGAAGAAACAAATCGCTGGCTCCTTTTCCCGCTGGAAGTGATACCCGATTTTTGGACAAACGAGTTACGATCTCTCTCTCTCTCCCTCAAGTGATGCCTGAAATACACCGAGCCGCACGGGAAAAAACATGATCTCAAGCCAAAACGTTAGCTGTCGATGGAATTCATCCCCATGTGCAGCGGCCCAACTGCCGCCGGTCGAAAGAAAAGACACCAATCGGTTGACTTCAGCTTTCCTTGTCTAGGTCCTACAGTAGAGAGGTTAGAATAAGGGTACCCCTATTCTGTAGTCTATTTAGTAGGGGAACAATAAAAGAAACGGTAAACGGGCACTACTCAGGGACCTAGTTGTTTCAGTTTGAGAAACCCTTCAGACAAGGGGTTCCTTGGTACCTTCGACCTAATGCTGCAAATGAAAAACCCTCCCGCCCCCTGCCTCCCAAATTCATTTTTCCCGCTCGCCTGAAGCGTGCAAGTGGAGCAGATTCTTCTTGGTCACCTCCCTGGAGCAAGGTCTGACGGACGCCAAATGAGCTTCCCTGCTTCTCGGTTGCGAAATCTGCTCCCCTGCTAAAAAATGACTGTTCGCGGTTTAATACGAAAAACCCACTAGTTGGCAAAAAATGAAGTCTAACATTCAAGCAAAATGCACCAGAGGTTTTAACAGCTTTCCTCTCGTTGGTGGCTTTGATTGGTGGTTTGGAGCTATTCTGGGGTAGCACTGGGGATTCAAAGCGCGTGCTAGCACGCTGTAGTTTACAGCATTGTCACGCAACGTGCACTCGCTTTGCATCAGCGCTGACAACATCCCAGGCATCGCTTTAACATCCTTCATCACCAGTTGGCTTTGGTTTGGGCTGGGTTTACGGTGGGTTCAAGGTTGGCTTAGGGTTGGTTCAGGGGGTGGGTTGCAGGGTAGGGGGTGGGGGTTTGTTGAGGGTTGGTTTTCGTGGAGGGTTAGAGTTGGCATAGGGTTGGTTGTTGGTTAAGGCTTGCGTAGGGTTCTTTTAAGGTGGTATTCCTTCAGTGTGCCCGAGCATCTTTAGTATTCTCTTGCTTCTAGTGCTCCCTCAGCACTCCCCCAGTATTCCCGTACTGCACTCTCCTTCCAATCCTGAGAAACCTCAGACATTTGCAGGAAAAACAACACCACCGCTGAAGCCACGTGAACTCTTGAACTTCCATTTGGTTAAGACCCTTGAAACAAAAACTAAAATATGTCCAGTAGTGAAACCGATTCTCTTTCAAACCAGGGGAAAACCAAATGGAAGTGAACTCTGACGCAAATGGAGTGATCATTTCCACTTCCCTTCTTGAGCGAAGGGAAGTGACCTCTTGGTGCGCCCGAGTCGGCGCGTCGGCACGTCGGGAGTCGTCGTCGCCTGAAGGAGGCGCCCACGGGCGAGAAGTAGAGAGTGCGGCAGCTGGGATCCAGTTCCAGCGGGCCTCGGAGACGCGACTTTGCGAGGAGACAAAAAGGAAGGAAGAAGACGAAACAAAAAGAGCAAGGCGAAGCGAAGGAAAAAGACAACACGATTCCAGCTCTGTTTTTTCTCAGCTGCAGGAAAAAACAAAGAAAGACAACAAAACAAAAAAAGACAAAGCAACGAAAACAAACAGGCCTGGAGGGGGGGGCAGAAGAGGGGGGACGGGGGCCTTCCTCCAATAGAGAGGTTAGAATAAGGGTACTAACTTTTTTTTTCTTCTTTTTTTTTTTTCTGTAGTCTATTTTAGTTGGGGAACCCTCCCCAAAAAAGGTTGGTAAAGGTTGGCACCTAGCTGGGAGACCTATAGAAAACATTTCAACTCTATTTTTTTGGCCCCAGGTTCTGGGATGTCAGATTCAATGTTCCATGTCCAAGGAGTCTGGACTCGATTCTGGAAAAAGAACCGATCTTTCGAACAGATTCACGGAGCGGGTGAACCTCACTGCAGGTTCTGGACACATCCAGGTGCGAACATGCCTCCGAGAGGAAAAATCAGCAGCGATAGATGCCCTCGAACACCGACAGGGGAAATTTGCATGTGGCTGAGGGATGCTGTGGGTCAACCCCCCGTACCCCCAGTGAACATCCCAATCCCCACTAAAATAGACTAAAATGGGTGGTGCGCACCTACCCCAGCATGGCACCATTGGTTTTGACCCACGGCCAAAAAAATCCAAAGCAAATGGCTTTGGGAACACATGCTGTCGGGGCACTCTCTGTCACCGGGCGGATTCCACAGACTGAGGCCAGCAGGAGGCACAGACTAAGGCCTCTCCATATAGACATTTTGCAGAAAACCAAAGCATGCCAGGCTCGAGCCGAAAGAAAGCAAGCCACATGCTCCATGGGAAATCTAGCTCTCCCCCAAATGGACCACTCGACATTTCGACCGAACGCTTCGGAGAATCTCGAACACCTGGTTCCAACCTCAGACACCCGTGGCTGGAACCAAGCAAGGATTCTTCGTGGCAAACTTGTGCACTGTGTCGGAGGCATGGCGTGCTTGCAAATCACATGAAGTTTAATAGGGGACCGCAAATCAAAAGTCGCCCGACATGAATCATCGGAATGGACTCTCATTGACATTCACACCCGCATCAGATGAACATAGTTTCTCCTCTTGCTTCCGAGCAGCGGCTACCCTCGTCTCGTTTTCTGCTTGATCCGCAAAGCCACACAAATCTGGCAAGCTAAGCCAGCACATGCCCCACGAATCAAGCCTCCATTTGCTTGAGTCCCCTGAAAAAAATAATAATAAATACTTATATTTCCTGTAGTGAACTCGATTACCTTTAAAACCAACAGGGGAAAACATATTCTTTACCAAATGGAAGCAACCAAGGTTCGGGAAAAGAACCTGAAAAAACGCTGCAACCTCGGCCCTGTACATGCTTGCCAGATCTCGATCGGGCCCCGTCATTCGACGGAACTCACTGGGCTCGGGAATATGGATGCACTGCATCCAACAATGTGGGTGCCCCAAATGGGTGGGTTGCTTTGGGTTTCCTCCGCCTCAAAAGGCTACCCTCAAATCTTGCCTTGAGCTTAGCTAAGATTTGAATGGAACCTACACTTGCACACACCAAACCTTCCAAACAAGATGGCAAGGAGGATGCGCATGACATCACGCCCCTACCATTTCTGCATCTGCTCGTGGCAGCCGTAACCTTGTCACATGTCCGACGTATGAACAAAAGACCCCCTGTCACCGGCTACGGTCGCAACCCCCCAGGAGCAACTCCGAGCAGGACCTCTGAATCCAATGGTGAAACTGCGGGCAAGACAACCTCTTTTTACAGTCGGTCTCGCCGATTGCCATTCATTATCAGTCAGGTTAGAGACGCGGGATGAGTGAGCTTGTCAATTGCCATGAACGAAGCCAACATGTTTGGTGTTTGGCAACATCTTTCAACAAAGTCGTACGAAAAAGATCTGGATCACAGACTCACTGTCACTGTCCTCTCCACTCTCATGCCACTCTTCCCACACTCAGCGTTGGGTGAGGTAGGGCCGTAGGCTGAATGGATCTTCATCCGCCGCCCGTTTGTGTTGTTCTTGTGGTTCTGTCATTTTTTTCTCGGACGTCGAGTCGATCATCGAGTCGTGGGTTTAAAGAACATGGCGCAACAAGCAGGTTTTTTGACAGTTGGTTTTCTTTGTGTTTCCTGTTTTTGATTTTTTTGGGGCGGGGTGGTGTTTGTTTTGGCTTTCTTAAATCGGAAAACCTCACCGCTTCCGCGACAGCGAGCGTTCCAACTTGGCCGGGGCCTGCACTGGCGCCAGCTCCCGCGACATCGCCTCCACCGCCTGGCTGGGCAGCTTTAAAAGGGAAACCGCCAGGAATCCCGGAGTTTCGCGGGTGCCTGGTTCTGGGTCGTTTTCAAGGAAAATCACATGTTTCTTTTTGGCGGGTGCGCCCCTTGTTTGAGGGAAATCACAACGAACATCACGTCTTCCTTCGGTTTTGCGGTTTAGGGAAGCTGCAATGAAAATCACGATTTAGGGGGCTCATATCGAGGGACACATTACACTAGTCTTCTTTTTTCTTTTGGGGGGATACCCAATTTCGGTTAACAGGAAACCAAAAGGCAACCAGCTTTGGGGCAACCAGAGTTCCTGACTGGATTGGCCAAACCAAGGCTGAACTATCGTTCTATTTACCGGGGAAATGGTCCAGACTTCAATCTAGCTGCTCAAAAGCGAAGTGAACATGGATATCTGTTTTGTGTATCAGGTGTAGATAAAGCAAAGCAGGGTTCCCCAGATTTTCCATTTGCACGTCACCCAAGGAAACTCACCCTATCACCGTCACCCAAAGCAGAGATATAGGGATGTACTGGTTCCCGACACTTCCCCCGCAGCAGCACACCGAGCGAATGGGCCTTTCAAAAATTGCGATGTTGAAAACTAGTTGGGTGGCCCTTTGGCGTCTTAGACCCAAAAGATATGCCGAATCTGTTTCATGGCTACCAGAATGAAAGCAAGGTGAGAAGCAACGATTCCGGCATCACTGAAGGCACTCCCAGAGAAGGAAGTTTCATCAAGGTAACTGAACCACACAACTTCCTGCCCGATCTCTTCCTGGTTAGCAGGTTGAATGCCATTGTCAAAAGGTCGGCATGGTAATCTTTTTGTAGGTGAACAATCCTGTTTGTAGATGGTCCAACTTTTATTACACGGTTACAGGGCCAAACCAAACAAGGGACATCTTCTTGGGTGTCTTGTCCGATTTCAATCTGAAGCCAGCGTTTATTTTCTGGTAGATTGTACTGCCTACCAGGATGGTATCCCCATTCTCAGGATCCTTCGCTTCGGAACGCCCAAAACCCAGTCCTTAACAGAGGGGTTGGAAAAGAGAAGGGGGAATGAACCCGTAAGAAGGGCATTTCTCTGAAAAAAGGAGGCATGGGTTACGGTACGGCTAGACCCCTCCCGTAACATGGAACCTGAGGGTTGCGTCTGGAAAGCAATTTTCCTGGAGGCACCTTCTGACCTTCTGGCAGGTTGCATGTTAGTAGGGTAATTACCAACCGGAAGTATGGACACCCCAGTGATTTGGGGACCTTCATTCTGGGTGAGCTCGGTTCAGCTCCAGGTTGTAAACCAACTTCAGTGTTGATTCTCCATGTTCGCCAACCTTCCTGCAACCTTCTGCTGGGTTCCGTGTCACTTGTACCTCCAAAACGCCGAACTTCCCGAACGGCATGAGCAACTTCTGGTTGCAGAGCTTATGGAAGCTCACCGAGCGACTTGCACAGTCTACCCGAAAAATAACGCCGGTTTCAGATTGACACCGGACAAGACGCTCGCTAAAAGGGAAGACACCCAAGACGTCCCGGTTATTTTTTAAAGGCCCGAAAAGGTGACTTGTATCTCTGGTTCCAACCAGCTCCCGCGCCGTTCCCCCCGCCTGGCGGGAGGGCCGGCGCCGGGACTGGGACGCGGAGTTCACCGGGCGCTTCTCCGGGAGGCGGGGCGACATTTTCTGCGGCCAGCTCTGGTGGAAGTTCCCGTCCTCCGTCCTCAGAGAGGCGATAGGAAGGGGCCAGCCGAGGATGGGTGTGTCCTTTTTTTCTTTGGGGGGAGGGCAGGGCCCACTTTTGAAGGGCTGCTTTAACAAAACTTTCTTGGATGTGCTCAACATTCCTCAGCTGCTCTTGCACCTGGCTGCTGTCTCCGCCAAAATCTGGACCACCCCAGGTCACCACAGCCCCAGATTCAAGACTGGCAGCAAAAGCACACCGGGTGTACTCAACACCCTCAGCTGCTCTTGAACCTGGCTGTGGGTCTCCGCCACATTTGCGAGCATGCGTGACTTGTTTGTTTCTCTCTTTTTTTGGTTTGTCCTTCTTTATTTTTCTTTCTTTGCTGATGTCATTTATTCTCTTGCCCTGCCATTGCTTCTTGCTTAATGTACTTATCTTTTCTCGTCGAGGTTCTATCCTTTCTTTCTGTGCCTATCATAATGCACTTACACTGGCCTTCAGCTTACAACTATCTCTAGATCACCGCCTCCAGCTTCTCATTTTGTCCAAACAAGGAGGTCCTCAAAAAACCCCGCGCCAGCCGGTTCCAAAATAGGGCAGCGTGGTGTCTTGCAAACTCCCCAATGTCAAGAGCAGAGGGACACATGGGCTTGTCTCCAATTAGGGAAAGGGACGCCCCCCCAGAATGCTGCTTTCCCTCTTTGCTTTCATTCTAAACCAACCCGAGACGTGTATTCATCAAGACATCCGAGTGTTCCAAAGTTCTGCCGACTCAATTGGCCCCTTGAGACTGGAGCTTGGATTTAAAAGCAGCTGGTCGCAGCCAAGGTTGAGCTAGTAGTGCAAACAGAGAAAAATCCTGCGCGGTGGCAAAACATGTCATTTGTCGAAGCCACATCTGCAGACAGTTTGAAACCTTGTGGCCCGATTATAAACCTTCACAGAGGCGTGTCCATTCTTACACCGGTAGACAAATGTGATTTTGCCAGGGGAGATTCGTTTGTTGGACGCTTTGAGTTTCGGTGAGCCTTCTGTCTTCCAAATCCAAACATCAGAAAGTCCTCCAAGCAGTTTCCGATTTGCGATCATGCGACACACTGCACATAAAGAATGACCATTCCGCAAATGCTGCAACCATGGGACACAGGTCAAAATGGGACCTTCCGCGCAATGCTGTGACATGGAGGGCCACCCTGATTATGTATAAGACACTCTGTCACTAGAAGTGACGGATCTGATGATCCGCAAAACGCCGATCCCTGCTCCAGATCAACTTTGAACAGCCCACAGAACGCAGTTTCCATCCAATATACCTCTAAGTCAGCAGTTGGAACGCCCAAAATGCTGGTTTTCTACTTGGCGTTGCTTCAAAACCCGCATAAACAGGGAGCCCTCAAAACCGTAAGCCGAAAACATCCTTCATTCTTTCGCCAAGCCACGGGCCATCCTTCCAGCGGTTCGCCGGGCACCGCCGCCGCACCGGTGGCAGAACACTCGGCAGCTCCTCCTCCTTTCGCGCCAGGCGCGGCGGCCGCCAGTCCTCCGGAAGTCATGTTGAAACATGAAGCAGGCGTGGGGGTGGGTGGGCGGGTGGGTGGGTGGGTTGGTGGGTGGGTGGGTTTGGGGGGGTGCGTGTGCGCATGTGCAAGCGTGTGCAAATGTGTGGTGTGTTTTTGGCCCCGCGAATACCCTCAAAGTTGTGGAGCTCCGACAAAATGGCACTTTCGAAATGGTGGACCTTTGAAAACAGGTGGTTTTTCTTGTGGCTTCCCTGCAGAGGGTCGAAGATGTTTCTTTTTCCATGTTTGTTTTGACTCTCGGCGCGAACATGCTGGATGTCAAGTCCTTGTCTAACAAACCGGCAAGTGGGTGGCTGGGTTGCAGGTAGGGGCGGCACAATGTGGGTTTAGGTTGGCTTTAGGGTGGGGTTGGTTTGAGGTTGGTTTCGCTGGCTTGCCAACGCATTGCTGCGTACAACAAATGATCGTTAGCCAGGCTTTTGGGTCGCCGTGGCCTTCCAGCCTGAACTCCACCCTGTAGCCGCCCCAGCCTTCGCGCTCCTTCGGTTGCTCGTCTTTTGGTCTTGCTGGCTTCTTTATTTGCCTCGTGATTTACTTACTAACTGTATTTTCGTTTTTGTTTTTTGTTGTAAACCCCAACGGCTGCGAATTGAAAAAAGAGTCCTTGAGGGCCGAGGCAAGGCTCTCTCGACACTCAGCTTCTCCCAAGCTGCGGCAACGCTTGTGGGGACGGTGTTTGCACTTGACTTTGCTGAGATTGTTCACCTCAGACAGGATAGGACATGGAAGCACGCCACAACCTGAAAACCCAGAGCTACGTGGCTGGATGTTTCGAAAGCTGCAAAAAGATAAAGGTTATTCTGTTGTTTGCAATGCGTTCAGTTAACACCCCGTTCAACCGATTCCATGTGTTGCAAATTTCAAGTAGCATGTCCTGGCAGGCAGAAAGTTGCTGCAACGCAGCCACTTCTGCATGCAGCTGTCTGAGCTGCGTAACACAAAAACACAACTTCGAGCACGCACACCGCCACCAAGGCGGCGGCGTGTTGTCCGCTTCCTTTAAAATCACCTCAAGGCGCGTCAAGCCACAGCACGGCTGCCGCGCACCTTGAGCGCAAAGTCTTGTCTGTTGACCTGCGCTGTGATTTTGCTGCGATTCTCGCGGACCCCTGCCAGCCGGCCTTCACCTTCCACACATCGCCGAATCTTCCGCGGCCCAGGAAGCAGACAACCAGCCATACAACTGCGCCACGTTTCTGCCACATCTCCCTCTCTCGCTCTCTCTCTCTCTCTCTCTCTCTCTCTCTCTCTCTCTCTCTCTCTCTCTCTCTCTCTCCCTGTCTTTCTCTCTCTCTGTGTCCCTTTGCTGTTTGATGGGAAACGGAGAAGCAACATAACACATTATTTGACAAACGATGCGCCTCTGCTTGCTTCGTCTCTTGCTCGGGCTCCATGTGCCTTGCCTCAAATCTGAAACGAACCAGCTACTAAAGTCGCGTCTTACGTCGTGCGTGTCAGCTGTGTCTCTGCCTGAAGTGGTTCCTGCAGCTCATCTGAAATTTGAACCTGCGCTGCTCTGAAATGATGCTGTTGCCAAAGCAGCAGGAGTTGTAGTAGTCATGCTACAAGTGATTGTTCAATGACGAACGCAAGCATCTGTGGCAGCCTAGGAGCGGGACAAACGGATCCAGGGGCCACATCTTCGACCCATCGCCTGGCTGACTGTGCTGGAGATCCAGCTTACAGCGTCTGGGAGTTCGATCCGGCTTCTCACGCCGCAGGCGGGACGTCCCGTGGGCAAAGCCCAACTCTCGGCTGAGGTCGGCACCGCGCCACCACTCAGCCATGACTGCGCCCGCAACAGCTCCAAAGGGCGCCGCAGCCTCCCAGGCGCCTGCGGCCGCACAGCTCAAAGGATCCAAGGCCTACTCCGTCAAAGCACACAACAATGCAGACAGCCCAACACCGGGGTGTGTTTCAGTTTTCTGTTTCGCAGCTAGCATTGAAACGGAGCGTGCGCTGGCAAGGGCTACTAAGTTGGAAGCCAAGTGCCTGAATCGGAACGCCTTCCCTTTTTACTTGAGAGCCAGTGGATCCCGGGCCTGCCCAGCTGTCGCCGTCTTGCGCCAAGACCACCGCCGAGGCAGAAGTGGAGCACAGCTGGCAAACAAATGCGAACAGGCCAACGTCTCGCGCAGTTTGAGCGATCGACCGTACGCAAAGCCACAAGTTTGTGCGCTCCACCACGGCTGCTTGAGCACAAAGCTGGCTTATGCCTGGCAGGTGTTGGAAGCATGACTCACATGGGCAAGGTGCTGGACGGAGGGCCGCAGAAGCCAAGGCTTGTCTGTCAAACACGCTGACTACGCAAAAACCGAAGACTAGAATTTCGTCGTGTTCAACAACGATGAAGCCCCACCAGTAAAAGTGAAGTACGCGAAGTGCACTGTGGCAGCTCCAGCTCAAAAGTCGCAACCTTTCAGCACAATTGCAGCACGCCAAGTACACGCTTAAGACTCCAGCTCGAAAGTCAAAATGTGCAATACGCGATGTGCACTTTGGCAGCTCCAGCTCGGAAGTCCTAACTTTGCAGTACAATTGCAGCAGCTGCTCCAGCTCGGAAGTCGTAGGAGGCCCAAGTCTTTGCGCATTCGCCTCTTCCCCATGGTGGTGTAGAGGTGCATGACCCTGTCGTTGCTCTCCGACTCCCGCTGGTCGGTCAGCGGCACTCTTGCTGGAATAGCCCTTCCTCAAGTTCCAGCTTTTGTGGCGGATGATGCCGTCGTTGGTTCGCGCCTTCTGTGACTGAGTGACTGCATAAAGGTAAACCGCGATGCATGATCCAAATTAACAACAAGCGCACTTGAAGGAGATAAAACGACGAAATGTCCAGTGGTGCTGGGCTGGTGAAGCGTGGGTTTGGGGTTGGTTTAGGGTGGGCTAGGGTTGGCATAGGTTGTGTGCCTAGTAGTTTGGGTTTATGTAGGGGGTGGGTTGAGGGTTAGTTTAGGGATGGCTTCTGGCTCAGAGTGGGTTTAGGGTTGGCTAGGGTGGGTTTAAGGTTCTCTTCGGTGGGTTTTGGAATCTTGGGCGGTTTTATGCGGTTTTAGGTTTGTTTTAAGGCGACAAGTCACGCAAACCGCAGCAAGCTGAAAGATGGGTCTAGGGCGAGCGTCGGATTTCTTTAGGGTCTGTTCAGGGCGGGATTACGGCCAAAGCCGAACAACGGCCCAGGCCCTATAAAGAAGTGAGGGGGAGTGCTTTCCTGCATGAACTCTGCACTTTTCACAAGGCCTAAAACATGCGGTCTTCCTTTTACACCAAGCTGAAAGGGGTACCCTCAACAGCACACACACACACACATAGCTATAAGGGGACGGATACACAGAAGGCATGTCGTTGACACTCAATTGACATGAAGCCAAGCAAAAGGAGCAGGTTCCTCATGCAACTGCCCCAACACTGTGCTTCCCTTTTCGGAGCTCTTTGCAAGGAACGCAAAAGACCTCGGGGCGTTCCTCGCTCGCTTTTGGAGGAGCCAACCGTCCGGTGGATGCGGCCGAAATCCGCCGATGTTTCCAGGCTGAACTCCGCCGCTGTCCGTGTGAGACCCTTGAAGCTAGGGAACACCAGGGCCAAAAAGGGATCCGGATGCATGAAATACACCGGAGCATGGGCAACTTGTAAATGGTGGTAAACCCCTTTATTTCGGTGTTGAAAAAGCCATGCTTGTGTCAAATGGTTGGGAAATGTGTCTTTTTTGAAGCCCTGTATTTATGTTGAGTGTTTCTGGGGGTTATCAAAGTCAGACACTGGTTGGTGGTTGCCCTTTCACCTACCTTGATAGTGGAGAAATAATGGGCCAACTGCTTGCTTGTTGTTTTTCCTACAAACTGGGGGTTGGGGGGGAGGTACCCAATTTTGTTGAGCCACAATCACAAGCAGCCCTCAACTCTGACATGACCCGAAAGCTCTAGCGAAGGCCATGTCTCATTGGGCGAGCACAGCGTCCTAAAGCTTTTGATCATGTGAATCTATCAGTTGGATAGATCTCCAGCAGAGAGGTTAGAATAAGGGAACCCTTTCTTTTCTAAGTAGTTTATTTTAGCAGGGAACCCTCAAAAGGGTAAAAGACACTACTGGGGACCTAGTCTTGGCTCAAGACCTGTCCATTCAATCTGCCTCTGTCGCCTGGTGCCCTCATGAGCCCCTCCTGCTTCTCGGTCCAAGCATCCGGCTTTGGCGATTCCTTGGAAGACTCCCGGGCTTTCTCCTTTCCTCGAGCAGGCAAGAGCGGATGGAAAAGTCAAATAAGGTCGAGCCGAACTCAGTAGTGACCTTCCAAGTCTTGGGCATTCCTTTGGGTTCCCTTGAAACTATGCGAACCCTGGTTCCCTATTTGGGTGTGTCTAAGAGAGCTAGATTGTTCAGAACCCTCCAAATTGGTTGGTGTCCTGGTGTCCTTTTGCTTTCCTTACCAAACAATTCAAGAGCTTGCCGCATCAAACATCCTCTCTACGTGGAATTCAGAGGGCCCCTTTTGAGAGACTGTCTTCCAGGCCTGATTCCAGCCAGCTAAATGTCAAACATCCAACAAAAACATATCTTGGGATATGTTGCACCGTGAAAAACACCGCATCCACAACTTGAGCTCCTGTAATGCGCATGTTCATGGGCTCAGCCCAGTTGTGGAATGTCTTGTTGACTCACGGGAATGTGAGTCAAACGTTTACTGCCCTGAATCGTCATATTTCCAAGCTCAGAGCAAGGAAAAGCCGAGCCATCTACAGAACGCCTGTTAGCTTCTTTGTGTGACTTCTACGTCCCCCCTTCACCCACCCCCTTCCCCCCCTCCCCTTGCCCGCCCTCCCTTACCCCCCCCCCCCGCCCAACGCCCCCGCCTCTGGACACGGAGGGCCGATAGCAAAAGGCGCCTTTGCAGCTCCAGATCCATGCCGAAGCTTCCGCGGAGATCGCCGTGCACCAGCCCAGCTCCTCGGGTGATCGCAAAGACTGGCCGCGGGAAGGGAATGAACCCAGAAAATGGCTTGTCTCGGGGTCTTTCCATAACTCTCATTCCCTGAGCACCGGCAAAACAAGGGGGTTCCAGCAAGAGGCGAGCGGTGGCCGGGCGATGTTTGGTCAAGTGGGAACGAGGGGAATTGTCTCTTCACGGGACCCCCTAGCATCCTTGAAGGTTTCGTCTCCAAATCAGGCCCCCCCCCACAGGTTGGTTTTTCCCACTGTGACATGCCCCAAAAAAAACAGGCCCGCAAAGGTCAGAACCAACAACATAGGCCCAAGTAGTATCCCCAACCAAGAACTTCCCAGAACTTGCTAAGCCTGAGATTGGCCAGCCGTCCCAGGCTTGGCTAAGACCTCAAGTTTGTCGCTGGACCCATGTGGGTATGAGTTTCAGGGCTTCCTTTTGACATCGTGTAGGCGGATGTCCAAAAGGAGCTCAAACCCTGACTGTAGAGGGTATGACAGGCCTACATTCCTTGCTTTCTCAATGCCACTGACAGCAAAGCCGCCTGGAAGTCTGGACACACCCCGTTGCCATGAACATGGTCTTCGAAGGGGAGCGTGGTTGGGGACCACCCCGATTTCCATATTGACTGTCAAGCAGAACCAGGAAATTGTTAAAATGGCACAAGCAGGAGGGGAGACGCGCGGTAGGGTAATGTGGTTTGGAGGGAGCAACTTGAAACAGTCTTTCAACAAGTTCAACAGGATCTCATAGGCTTTGTTCCAAAGTCGAGCCGAACATTTCTTGCTGTACCCCTCTTGTGGTGTTTACAGTGTACAGGAAGCCAGCAGGAAAAGCAACCACAACTCTTCTTTCTTTTCTTTTTTTTGGGTGGGGGGGACCCTAAAAAGAGCGAGACCCATCTTTGGCTTCACACCCAAAAACGCCCCCGGAGAGACGATCCGCGTGTCTCGCCGCTGCGCCTTGGGAGCCAAACCGCCCGGCGTCAGCTGCTCCCAGCGCATTTGCTCCAGGTCCAACAGCCAGCCTAGCGATCGAAAGACCCGAGCAAGACCAAAAAAAACACACACAGGCTAAAACAGCTGAACACAAATCGGCAGTTGGGCTTGGACAGATCCCAGCAAAACCAACAAAAACTGAAAAATTTGAGGCTCTGCCTGCTTCAAACTGTTGATGTTTGATTGAACCAATTGAATTTAAAGCCGGATTCAAACAGCTGTTAAAGCCAACGCTTTGCCTGTGTAAAACAGCTGAATTGTGTTTTAGCATCGGTTTCGGGGGTGTCGGGTTTCCATCGGCCCTGAAAAGCAGGCACATCTTTTTGGGAAGCCGAGTTAAATTCATTCACGAGGTATCGTATCACACCAATTGCCCGAGACTCAGCCCAAAGGACCTGACAACCTGACTGTCTACCCGGAAAAAATCATCCCAAAGGTTTTTGCTACAGCAACTCTTTGCCACTTGGGGCGTTGCCTCGATGGTTGAGCAATATCTGCTGGAAGAACCAGTTGCCACGGACCTACTAACCTTCAAGGGCCTCAGGGCATAGGTAATTCGAATGGGGCTATGGGGTACTTTAAAACCAACTTAAGCCATGAAGCCATGAGTCTTCAACTCTTCAGCCCCAACCATCGCCTCCAAACTGGCTGGGGACCGTCCCTTAACCTTCATCTCCCCGACTTTTGAGCAAGCTCATGTAAACTAACCCAATGTGTCAAACTGTCAAACTAGCGATTGGGACCCAAAAGACCATGTTCTTTTCTCCGTTTCGCTTTCCAGCAACAGGGGAAACCCAGCCGCAACAAACCCGAGGACATGGACTAGGTCCTCCGGTAGAGAGGTTAGAACAAGTTGGTACCAACTCTTTTCTGTAGTCTGTTTCAGTAGGGGATGCCCCAAAAAGCTGGGCTACAACGGCACTGGGGGACCTAGCGGAAAGCCGCTGATCGGATGGATCGCCGAGCCGCAATCATTCAACGGCCCCGAGGCGTCCATGCCCCCGCAAAGGAGCATACGGTCCTCGACCTGGACTTTGAAAGCCACAAAACCCATGGGATGCACGGGATTCCCCCCCCCCCCACCCCCGATAGGTGGGAGACGGTGACACCCAAAAAGGAAAGCCGCTGTTTCATTGAAATGGGGACCCGTAGAGTCGTGTGGAAAGTAAACTCTGTGATGCTGAAGTGGGATGGTCAAACTGCCACCAAAATCCAAAACCATGATGGGATGGATGGGTATGTCAATCAGTACAAGCCTAAAAACATGGGCAGGACAGTCCTACAAGTAGGGTTGTGGTTGAAATGGAATCCACTTCTGTCATAAAACAAAAGGCTTCCCAACGACGACTTTCCCTTCAGGGGAAGATTCCCATATTCTTCCATTTGGTTAAGACCCCTGGACAAAAAATACATATTTCCAGTAGTGATAGATTCCCTTTAAAACCAACAGAAAATCAAAATCTTCATTTCAGCAAATGGAAGTATTGCAGTGGTTGGATAAACCCCGAGTGATCAACCGGTGCCTCTCCTTGGAGCGTTGCTCCAACTTCACGTGCCTAAACAACGACCAGCTTCCTCTCAAAGCGCAGAGCTACAAATATATTCCAAGCAATACATGGCTGTGGGTCAAAACCAACGGTACCATTTTGGGGTAGGTGCACCACCCTTTTAGTCTTTTTGGTGGGGATTGGGATGTTCACTGGGTGTACTTGATTTTGACCCATAGCCACATACACGTAGTGTCTTGCCGGTTTTCAATGAATGTCCAACCGATTTCCCTTTGGCAAAACTCCCTTAAAAGAAAACGCAATGGGGTGTTTTGCGAGCTTCCCGAACATGGGGTTGTTGTCCTTCCCTTTCAGACCCAACAAGCCAGGGGGCCATGCAGCAGCCGTGGCCAAAGCGGCGCGCAGGGGCGCCGCCTGTGGCAGGTGTCCCTTTGTTGGTTTGGAGTGGTTTGGATTTTGTTTGAAGCCCTGGTGCTTGAGGGGAAACAAATGGACGCCCATTTAAACATCCAATCCACCAAAAGCGGCGGAAGCTGAACTGTGGCAGGTAGCCAGGGCTTCTTGCCTCCAGGTTTCGAATGGTTTTCCCTAGCGCTGGAAATCGTTGAAGGTAACAGGGAAAATCAAAGCAAGAGAGAAACAAGGAAACAACATATCGGGACATACCCCGTTTATTTCACTTCACACCATCGAGCCTCATCTTTGGCGTCGCCGACTTGCAAAATTTTCGGCGATTCGGCCGAATGCAAGGGCTTGGTAGCTACTCCTGCGACACCCAACCCTCTGCTTTTTGCAGCTTCCCTGTTAATTGATTGTTCCTTTTGGGGATGTTTTCTTGGAGGTGTCTTGGCGAGGGGGGGGCTTTTGGCGGGGGGGCTCCCGGCACAAACCATGAGTTTCCAACGGAAGATCCAACACCGGGTTGTGGCTTCTTGAAACCGCCTTGGGGCTGCCGACAGCCTTTTGTACAGAGAAGCCGAATTTGGCCTTTGGATTCGGTCACACCCGAATCCGGCGGCCTGCCACGGTCGGACGGCGCCAGCCAGCTGCCTGGGTTGATCGGGGCTTGGGGACCATCGCAAATGGGTGGCTCGTCTTTTTTGAGAGAGCCCCTTTTGCAGGGTGGGCGTTCAAGCGGGACAAAAGAAAAACCATCAATTTCGAGGGTCGCCGCTTGTCACACGTCAAATCGAGACCTCCTCGTGTCAACTGTTCCAGGCTGCAGAGTGCAACGTGCTGCCAATTTTTGCTTTCGACAAGGTTCAACCACTTGAGGGCCCAGGAAGCAAGAAACCACTTCTGCATGGTCATGAGCTTTAATTGGGAACACTTTGGCGAACATGCTTCTCAGGGTGTATGTCCAGCCACCGTTTTCCAGGGCGTTTTGATGAACATGGGAGAAGTTCGCAGGCTTCCTGATCCCGTTCGCTGCCGCTCACTTCCAGCAAGCGATTCAGCTGTGTCTTCACATCACGCCCCAGCCAAAACTCATATCAGAAGTACCACGTGGATGTCCTTTTCGACTTTTGGACATACCACCTGTGAAGCTTCAATGACACCACAAGAGACCTTCCCGAAAAACGAACGAACCCTGAAGATCGTGCTTTTTTTTCCTCCAGGTTTGAACAGGAAACCAAAGGGAGCCGCCTCACTTAGTGCGATGGCACTGGAAAACCCAGAGAAACACCGTTTCTTCGAGTGGAATCCACATATTTCCAAAGTGACCTATGAAAACTCCTGGATCCAAAGCATTCACCCTTCATGCCGGTTCCTTACGGTTCGGAGACCCTTTCGTTGGGCTGGGGGTTCCAATATGCGCCGCATTTTTTTTAGGAATCGGACCCCGAACATCGGAATTTCGGGTGTCCCCATCAAACACCCGCATGCCCGCAGGTGTAGCCACCCGAAAATCCGAGTCCCCGCCCTCTCTCCAAAAACACGCGGGCGCTCGGCCTGGCCAGCTGCTTTTGAAGGCGCCTAAGAGCGAACGAGGCCAATCTCACATTCAGCTGGGTCTGGAAGCCATGGGCTGGCCTTACAAATCGGGTAAGCCCAAAAAGGTACATGGAATGGACTAAAACCAGCGGTCCATGTCCTGCTGGTTTAATTTTGACCCATCCCTTTGATTTCAATGTTGCGATCAAAGGATGGGTTGAGATCTGAAAGGTTGTAGTAGCAACCTTCAGAGTTGCGTAAACCCTAGGGCCTTAGGGTGACTTCTTCACCATCTCTATTGCCCAAGTACAGGAACCGGTGTTTTCACCATGCATCTCGGGCCCCTTCGCTCATGGTCCCTGTGCCCACCAAACCCCAATGCTCCCAATGGTCCCAATGCGTTTCAGGCACACCCCTTCTAGAAGACTTGGACAAGAACCAGAAACATCCTCTCAACTGGGGTTCTTTACGCAGCTCAGGACTGTGTCTCCGGCACTGTTCCAAAAGAGCAGTGGATCACGTGTGGCAACAAGAAGGCGTAAAATGCAAAAAACAACACCAAAACAACAACAACGGCTGATAGGTTGGCATTCCAAGGTATGCAAGCACACCTTCGGTCAGTCGAAGACAAAGTCGCCTGTGAAATGCAGCTGAGCATGCTCGACCGTTGGCATCTGATCTACTCTGAGTCTTCCTCTAGGCCTCCAGTAGAGAGGTTAGAATAAGTTGGTACCCTTTTTTCTGTAGTCGACTTTAGCAGGGGAACCCTCCCCCCAAAAAACTGGTAAAAGGGCACGATCCTGGGGGACCTAGTGTTCTACTCTGAGTCTTCCTGTCGGCTCTGGCACTCAACAGCAACACGCCCCACGAAGCTCACCAAAAGGCCTACCCCCCCCCCCCCCCCCAAACGGCCAAAACCATAAACCGCTCAGACTTACTTGGCCTCTGAAATGACGGACCCCAAAAAAGTAGGCAAAGTGTGTAGTGAGGACACCCCAGCACACAGCACGACAGTTATGACTTCTGCTTCTACCGACATGGCTTTTCGGTTCAGGCCTGTATGTGACCATGAAACCAGATGGGTGTCTCTTTTTTGCGGGTACCCTCCTTGGGGTTTTCACGGGGAACTGAAGGGAACACCGTCATTTTCTGGGGTCCCCTAGCCTAACACACCGAATCTCAGAACCCGCATCTCGGTTTCGGTTTTGGGCCTCTGCGCCTTCTGAGTTGCTTTGGGCGCCGGGCAAAGAGCCAGGTGTCCCCCAGCGCTTTGGCTTCGCCTTCCAGCCTGGGACTGGTTGGACAAGGGATGGAGATATTTGATGGGGCCGTGCCTGGCGTGTTTTTTTTCAACTAGAGACACTCACCTTCGAAGATTCGAGGAAGTTCCAAGGGCCCTTTTTGGACAAGTGGTTTCTGGCTTTCCCCTTGTGACAGTTGCAGTTTTGGCACACGTGGTCTAAGAAAAGCCGGAAGGGGGGGGGGGGGAGTTTTGAAGCCACAAGCAACAAGGCCGCTCCCCTTGTGCGCCACCTTGTGCCGCCTTGGCAGTGCCAAAATGCGACCAGTCACCCCAAGGCTTGCTGCTGAACCAAGTTGCATTTCGGAGACTCGGCCATGCGGAGTCAGAGACTGGACAGCAACACAATGCATGGAGCACCCATCAATATTGGCGACCGATATGGAAAGACATGGACAAACCCAAAAGACCAGACTATGCCATACCATACCAAGCCATACCATGCCATATCCATGCGGCATGGTATGGCAATCCATGGCATGGCACAAGGTCGTGGGCCCCCCCTGGTCAACCGCACGGCCCTCCGAGTGGTTTTGACCCCTCGGCACTCGGCTCCCCCGCCCGGAGCCCAAGCCGCCGAAGATCACCATGGCTCGCCTCGATCTCGCCGGCCGGAGGCCGCAAGGTTTCCTAGGTCCTCCAGCAGAGAGGGCAATTAAAATCAGGGTACCCTTTTTTCTGAGGTCTGTTTTAGTAGCAGAACCCTCCCCCAACAAAGTTGGTAAAGGGAACTACTGGCGGACCTAGTTTCATAAACAAAGGGGTCCGGGTCCTTCTTTTGAGCGTGACCCTGGACATAGACACAGGGGCGTGTCCTTTTTATAGAAGAGACCCCCCAAGCTTGTGGCTTTTCTTGCGGTTTCCCTTTGCGCCACAAAAAAGGGTGTACCCTCAAAAACGAACCAATAAAATTGTGGATGTCCTGTTGGTTTCCCTTTGAATACGAACTTTGAATCGGGTGAATGGACTCCCTAGCCCAATGGCAAACTCACTGGTCCTTGCAGCCTGAGGTTCCACAAACTGTATAGGCGCATCGGGGCAGCATGCTGCGCAGCAAAAACACGTCCCGTGTTTGGGGTATCTTTTGGGGAATTCCGTTGTAAGAGAAATGGCATGGCTTTCGCCATCGTGCACTGCTCGCGGGTTCCATTTCAACTGCTCTTTGGTTTTCCCTTTCAGGTGACGACAAAGAGGAATCTCGCAGGATGCCTAAAAGGGCTAGAAGGGCATTGCGAGCCTCTGAACGTCGGGTAGCGGAATGTTTCAAGAAACCAGACCGGCTGGCTGAGGTATCCACCTTCAGACTTCAGCAAAACGTGGTCTTTTGGGGAAATGCTTCGCATGGCTCGTGGAGTGGTTGATGCTCTTTGGGGCCCTTGGTAAGCTCTCGGAGCAAATTTGCAACACAAAACTCGGCCTCGACAAATTGGCAGACTTGCGGCTCGGACCAAACCGGGAGCCGGCGATTCGAAGGAACCCAAGGAACCGAAGGAACAAACGGAACCGGAAAAGAAAAACAAAACATGATCAAAGTCACCCCCTGAGTGGTGGGTTAAAGGGAAACACCTCCATTTACTGGTCAAAATAACGACCCCAGGGATTTTTCCAGGTTGGGTCCCTTTGCTAAGATTTTTGAACCACCTGCCAACCTTGAGTTTCAAAGCCTCGCTCGGCCTCCGCTTCCGCTCATAGCGCTGGGGCTCCGCACGTCTTGGAGAAGACCGCCGAGTGACAGGCGCGCGGCCTCCCAGGTGTTGCCTTTAGACACTTCGGCCAAATGGGTATGGGGCAAAATTCAACCGCCAGAAAACCGCAGGTTGTAGTCCATGTTTCCATTTACCAGGGCAAGCCATTTTGGGCACCTATTTTTGACCCACAGCCAAATAGGGGGTGACAGGCGCCTCCTTCCGAGAAAAGTACATCAGAATCCTCACGGCCGCGATGAGCACGTTAGATGAGAGGACGAAAGGTGAAACAATCCTCAACGCCTACCTTCACAAGGACAACAATGCCTGCCTGCAGCTGTATGCCTAAGGCTGCCTATGTGTGTAAACCTCTTGCTTCCTACGGAGTCGCCCCAGTTGAATTGGTTGTGAGCACATTTTGTCACAGGCAAAATCTTGATCCTGGCTTTGTCGCCTGTTTCAAAGACTGAACCAGTTTTGATCGACTGCGGGTGGTGTGGCAAGTCAAAGCCCACGGGGTAAGTGTCCTCATTGAATGAAGCCAACACTGGCCTTAGGGCCTTCTTTCGGCTCCCGGTGATCGCTCGCTAAAACTAGAATTAGGAGAAATACGCGTGAGCCCTGTGAAAGCCTGACGCGCTCAACTTGTGAGATCTGCCCAATTGCGCATGCTCCTGCAACGGTCACTTGCAGTTGTGAGCGTGAGGGCAAAAAGGAGAACTGGTCAAAGGTCAAGCACTCAACGAAATGGAAGACACCGATGGAGGGTATGATGAATGGATGTTCATTCTTTCCACGCAGGCTGGATGCTGACATCAAGTGACTCATGCGGCATTTCGTCGCATCATCTTCCCCAGTCTTCCACAGAAACCACTTGGTAGCTCATCGTTTCAGGCGCTGTCCTTGAGTAAACAGAAACCTGCGAAGGACAGGCTTTATTAGCCATGCCTTGTTCAACTGATGATCTTCCAACCCGAAAGCTGTTTTTGGCCTCTGTCTTCTCTGAAGGGCCAACAAAAAGAAAACGGGAGAGCCCAACGGCCCAACGAAGAATAAACAAAGAAAAAGGTGGGGTCGAACACATATAACATTCTTGCCCCCTGAATGGCCTGTCACCCAAAGTGGGCAACACATTTCTGGGTGCTCAAATCTTGAAGTGAAACCAGTTTGGGGGTTCCCGATGTGGAGACAAAGCCATTTCTGGAGTGTCCAGTGAACCTCTCTCCAAACATGGACTTGCGCAAGGCCAAAACCAAGGCAAGCAAAGAGCAGCGACCAAGTTTCACAGTACATCGAGGCTCTGGTGTTTCCTTTGGGTCTCTGACCTTTGGTCGTCCATACGCTTACCGACCTCCTGGCAATTCGTTCCTCTGCAAGGTACAACTAGGTCCTCCAGATTTGAGAGGTTAGACTGTTGGTACCGTTTCTTTTTTCTGTAGTCTATTTTAGTAGGGGAACCCTCCCCCAAAAAAGGGTAAAAGGGCACTACTGGGGGATCTAGACAACTGGGATAGCTTCGTGACGGCTCCCAAGGCAAACAAATCAGTTCCTGACTTCCGGAGCCATGCTGACGTTGGGCGAGGTTAACTTTCCTAAGCGTCCAGGGGGTCCCTAGCTTACACAACTCACATCGCAAAAATCTAGCTAGGAGGGGCTGGGCGTGAGCTACTGTTGGTCCTCTTTAAAGGAAAGCAACAGTAACTTGATGGATTGAACAAGCTAACAACTGTGGCGTTTCTGTTTCAAAGGTGCGTGGCCCACTTCTGAAAGCAGACCTTCGGTCGAAATGAGCTCGGTAAGCCGGCAACCCTCATAGTTAGTGTGTCGCGGCCGTTCAGAAAGGACAACCCAAACTCGGTTGCTTTCTGCTTCCCTGCTAAAAGTGAATCACTTTTAGTGGTTTAATACGGAAAACCCAAATACGTTGGCAAAAAGTTGTTCAGTCCTAACATCCCTTGGCAAAATATGCAAAATGCAGCAAAGCAAATGAGGGTCTCTGGCATCGACACCAACCCCGTCGCTGATCTTGGCCCATCCCCAAAGTCCAAAACACACATTGAGACTCTGACTTCAACCTGAAAATGTGGCCATGGGCTTTTCAAAACTCAAATCGGTTTGCCCCCAGTTTTCACATCCGATTCAATCCAACCACTAAAGTAGGAAGCCTAAAATGGGCGGTGAATTCACCGAAAAAAAAGAGAAAAGGATCGGTACCAAAACGGCTTTGACCACCAGCCAAATGTGAAGTCATAGAGACTAAATTACCAGGAATTGGACCGCATATTTTAGTCCATGTTTCCTCTTACCAGGGCAAGCCATTTTGGGGTTACCCCCTGTTTTTGACAACCACCGCCAATTCATAGCGGAGCCCCCCCCCCCCTCCGTTTTTGCCGCGTGCGGACCGCGAATTCTTCCTCGGCCAGACCCCTCGAAACGGCGAGCGAGCCGCTCGCCTTGGGGCCAACTGCTGCTCCCAGGGGGCCTCGAGAGAGTTTCACCCCTCGAGAACGTGTGGTATTTGCCTGCCGTTGGGTTTCTCGACCGGAAAAAATGAGAACATATGTGTAGTGAAATCGAGTCCCTTTAAAACCAACAGGTGAAAATAAAGAATATTCTTAAATGCCCTCAGATCCCCTGCCCAAAGTGACTAACTTTAGTGGGTGAAATGGAAACTGCCACTAAACACTAAAAAGCGAAAAGGCTAAGGATGGCTGGCTTTGCCACCAAGTGACCAAGCCCAAACCTCCACAAAATCAACCTTTGCCTCTGGCTTCGCACGCCCCAACAAAAATCGCGGAAAAATCGCCCAAGCCAAAGGAAGTGGTAAGGAGCCCCAAATCTTGCTAGGTCCTCCAGTAGAGAGGTTAGAATAAGTTGGTACCGTTTCTTTTTTCTGTAGTCTATTTTAGTAGGGAACCTCCCCAAAAAACGAAACGGTAAACGGGCACCTAGCTGGGGGCCCTAGTTTGTCCTGCTCCATCTGGGCTTCGGGCCGTCTCGCAGTGCTCCTTGCCTCCGGCGTCCAGCAAGCTCCACACAAACTCCAGCGACTGGTCCTTTGGGCAGCGGGTTGGAAGTACAACTTCCATTTGGTTTTTCGACCCCCAGAAAAAAAAGAAAAAGAAAATATTTCCAGTACTGCTAGATTCCCTTAAAAACCAACAGGGGAAATGACAATATTCTTAAGCACCCACGGCAGGGGGATTTTAAAGCATCGCCGCTAAGCCCAAGGCTGAAGAGGCATGGCCGAATATGTTTTTTGTTTTTTTTTTTACTCATTGAATAAGAAACAATGCCTTGGGGTTGCACTTGTTGCACATGTTTTGCGACGCTCTCGATGCCCCAATGACCTGCGACTGCCGAAAGAATTCAGAAGTCCCGAAATTGTTGAACAATGCGTCTACATGTTTACTGACTTGCAAAAAGACAATCCTACTAAAAAGGATATCCAGTGTAACATTTAATTTGGGATATACTACTCATTACTTTTCAGTCTGATTCAAACAAAAAATACCGGCATAGAGCCCAAATAGCAAGAATGTGTTGCCAGCCAACGAAGTTACTGTTGTCGACCCATATTAATCAACCCTAGTTTATTAATAGGAGGGTGTCCTCCAAGAACCTATCATTATAAACCAATGAACCTTACATGAGCTCCCAGCAAGCTTGGTTTGCTCAAGCCAAACATTCCGAACAGGGGCGCAGTTAAAAAGGTAAACGCAACAACGCCTTAAATCGCACCTTTCTTCAAGCAACTGAGCATCAGGCAACTATACCGCCAAAGTATACAACAGTGTCTCTGAAAAAACAAACACAAACACATAACGCTCCTTTTGCGCAAAGCAAGCAGGGACGAATGAGCATCAGGCAACTCTACTGCCAAAATATACAGCCACATTTTCCGTCAACAAAGCAGCTGCCACACCGTACCAACAGCCTCTCTGAAGCAACCCCTGTTTTAGGTGTGAGCGCCTGAAGGCGGCCGGAACTGTTGCCACTTTCTACACGTCGCCTTGCGGGTTCAATGCGGCTGGGTAAGCCAAGTACATCCATGTCGCATTTCTGCTTTTGGCCAATCGGCTTTTGCGCGCACGCAATGTATACACATGATGCGCTTGGCGCGTTTCATTTTGGCGGGGCTGTGGTTCCAAGTTTGCGCGGGGTGTGCGGTTTCTGTGCGCTGTCTTCACGCAGAGTTTACACTATACGCGGCAGAAGCATTTTCTTTTGAGGGTGTGTGTGTCCCATGAGTAGCGCGCGTCGGGCTTTTTGCATTTGACTCGACGCGCGGGCCTTTTGCAATCTTCAGGCAATGCTCAAAATTGCTCACGCGCGAGGATTTCCGTTTGCGTTTCCCATTTGATGGGGTCATTTAGGTCCAACTCGGGTGTTTCTCCAAATCGTGAATCCCTCCGGATGGCTGGCTCCTTTTGCTGGCCCCATCTAAACAAAGCCATCTAACCCGTTGTACTCCTTTGGCTGTATGGTTTTAACGGGAAGCCGTACCTGAACGCTGGTTTTGAAGCGTCTGCTTTTGAGACAGAACCTCGCTTGCTTTCTGCTCCCCTGCTAAAAAAAACACCACTTTTGGTGGTTTAACTTTTAGTGGTTTAATGGAACACCCATTCGTTGGCAAAACGTTAAAGTCCTAACATCCCTTGGCAAAATGCAGCAAAGTTTAGTAGGGGAACCCTCCCAACCAAAAAAGAAACGGGTGAGAAAGTTGCCACTTAGCTGGGAAACCGAACCCTTCGGCTGCCGTTTGGCTCGGCTCGTTTCCTCCGTCTCCAAAATCTTCAGCTGGAAGGTGTCCCCCAAGGGCAACCTCAGATCTGCAGAACGCTGCAACTGGCGGATATGGAGCTGGCTAAAGCAGGCCCTTGTGTCTTTGTCGGCAGAAAATGGAGACACAAAAACACATGACCTTTTATTTCTTGGTGGTTTGTTAATTTTGTGCTTGAAAAAAGCACATATAGCTCTTTACTTTATTTTCAGGATCAACAACAAACACGGCCCTGACGTCGTTGGCTGAAGCTCATTGCCTCTCTGCTGAGGGGCCCTGCAACTCACGACCGGCTCAAGAGTCCCTGAGCTCTTGCTGCGTTGCTTGGGTGTGAATTTTAATTGGGGGCCCTTGGGTGGACATCATCGTTTTGGGGCTTCTTGTCCACCCAGCAGTCTCTCTGGCCCGAGGATTGCTGGGCTGATAGGCTCCGCGCCCGCCATCCCCAACACCTCCGAAGATAAGGACCTCAGGAAGCAACTGGATCGAGGCGACCCTGCAAAGTGGAAGAACTGTTGCTGGTGGTCCAAACGGCCACCCTGCCCAAACATGTCCAAATGGCGAATTAGCTAAACATCTCTACTCTTGGTATGGTAGCAAAAAACTTTGTTATCTGCAGCCCCCCAGCAAAAATGAACAGAACCAAAAAACATGCCAAGAAAAGTGAAGTACAGGTCAAAGGCCACAAACCAGCTGAGCGCTTCTTTGGCCATCTCCAAGGGCCCTGCACGCTTCCATGTTAGCTCGAGGTGTGGGGGAGAAACAGCTTTTGCGCGTCCACAAGGGCGTCGGCTCAGAAAGCATGGCTACCTTGACCTACGCGTACGCCAGGGTGATATATATATATATAATGTACACAAATATAAATAATATATATATATATGTATATATATATATGTATATGCATATGCTTGCAAAAATGGGCCACGCCACTTGTGAGCATGCTGGCGTGAGGGCCTATACACCATGCAAAGATGGGCGGAAGCTAGAGAGATCGAACTTGCCCCCCCCCCCCCCCCCCCCGAGTTCTGCGGATCAGTGGTTGGGATGTTTGGAATTCCAGCACGGTGATTTGGTGATCACATGAAAACAAAGGAGCCCCCCTTAAAATCCACCCCGCAAACAAAAAACAAACAAATAAAACACATGCCTGGTTTTCTTGGTGGAATGATCCGAACTGAACGGAACCTGCCATGGTTTCCAAGAAAATCCCCAGACTTCCGTGAAGTGGTTTTCTGAGGAACAGCAAGTCAAAGTGGTGCCTTGATTTCCCTTAAAGTATCGCAAGGCATCCTGCGGTTGTCAGGAGTCAGCCCAAAGTCGACATCATTGAGCTGCGGGGCTTTAACCCGGTGGCTTAAGACAACAACTCAAAGCGCGAGAAGAGCACCCAACACCGACTGCCGCTACCAACCTACTTTTTGAAGCTCCTTAATTCCAGTCTTACTCTCGTGAAGCCAGGTAATTTGCATTCGTTCTTGTGACTGGGACATGGGGAAAAGGATGGCGCAGCCTCCAAGGACGCTGCCCCGGCGCGAGTCGTTTCTCGAGAAACTTGTGGGGCGCCGCGCCGCCGGCGTCTCACCTGGAGCCACTGGCACCTGGCAAGGAACCAGTTGGCTCCGCCTTCAGGTCCTTTGATTTGGGGAGGGGGGGCGCCACCTCTCCGTATGTTGGGAATACAACCGACCAAGCAAACAGCCAAGCATAGCCCAGCCGCCAGCCAACCAAGCCGCTAACCAACCAACCCCCGTGCCAGGGCTGCACCAAAAACACTCTTTCCCACATACAATGCGGAATGCAAACACCGCAGAATGTGAGCGGCCATGATTTTTACTGGCAGGCTACCACAAGAATGGCTGGCGGACGAGACTCCCTACTGTGAATAATGTCCACCAAAGAGCCTCTCGTTCAAAATCGAGCCATCAATTGACGATTTGCCAAAGTGCGCTCGGCTGACTAAATTTTGTGGCCAAATGCGACTTTCGAGCTGTTACAAAAGGTAACTCCTTTCCAAAAGTCCTGCTAAAGTGTTCTCCAAATTGAGCGTGCTTGGAACTTGCATGGAATTGAAAGCGGAGTGAGTTCCTTCTTTTTTTTTTTTAACTTAGGTCGACAGTCTGGGGCATCCGCGACTAAACATGGGTCCGGGTGAGTGGCATATATATATATATTATATACATATATATATATGTATGTTTTTGTGTCTCATATACTTAATTATACATAATATGAATGCATATGCATATTTGCTCAGACCCCCTCCTTTTCACATCTGCCAAAGTTAAAATCACACACACACACACACACAGCAACAGTCCAGGCCACATCTGCTCATCTGTCTGCCAGAGCTGAAAATACACATCATGAGTCTTGGCCTCATCATATCTCGATTTTCTCGGAGCCAGCCCATGCATCCCCGGAACCCTTGTCGGCACTCCGTGGAACGCACGGCATAAGTGAATTGGACATGCCTGCACTTGAGCTAAATCAAATGCGTCTCATGCGTTGCATGTAAGCCAGCATGCTTGTACCAATACGGCTTAAACCACCAAACATGCAATTGCGCATAAAAGTGCAAACACACAACAGAAACCGCCAAGTGTGCACAATTGAAACTCCAGGCTTGGTCTTCAAACAATTTCAAACATCAGTACACATGCGCCAAAACTCAATTGCTGGGCCTGTCCAAAAGGTGATGCTTCAACCACCCCCAAATTCAACAAGCACCATGGCCAAAAACACAGATCCTTCCCTCCTACTTGCCAGGCTCAGAGAAGCAGTCGTACCGAATGGAACCCGCCGAGCATCCATTTGGTCAGGTTTCGTCGCGCCTGCACTGCACTGTGCCCGGCACGTGGCCTGTGGAGTCGAAAAATAGGGGGAGAGAAGGGGGAGGTGGCGCCAGGCAGTTGCTCGTTGCGGAAATCAAGGGAGCAGCAGACCCAAAACAATGGTCCTTGGAGTTTGGTTTATGTTTCAGGTCTTGGAATAGCAATTCCAGAGTGGCATGTCTTTCTTGAGGGTATCGACCCCAAACTCATCAAGTCGGATGAGGGTGGAACTCCCAAGAAAAACTTGGATAAGAAGACACCCTTTTTGGGTTCCCAAAGCCAACGGCTCCCCAAAGTGATTTGGATGAGGGGACAGCTTTTTGGTTCCCTTCGCCACCCAAGAGATGGGTTCCACACTGGATGAGCTTCCGTGCAAGAACCCTCTTTTGCGCGCCTGGGCGGCGTGTGCTCTTCCAGCGCCTGGCTTGGGGCAAAAAGAACAGGTCTGGAGATGGTTTCCAGTCGGTTTTTGGACCCACGGGGTCCCCCAATTCTGAGAAAACAAGTAGCCATAATATAATCTTTACCCCAAAATGGTTGGTTCTGGACTTCCATTTGGTTTTTCGACCCCCGGACAAAATGAGAACATATTTCCAGTAGTGAAATCGATTCCCTTTAAAACCAACAGGGAAAATTGAAATATGTTCATTTCAGCAAACGGAAGGTTCTAGAGCTCAACTTGAAGTGGAGCCACAAGAAGTCCAAGCGGTTTGGTTTGCCACTGGAATGGTCCAAAGCCTGAACGTGACTCCACTAAAATTTGCTCCAAACCCCAAAACTGACTGAACATCAGGAGCTCCAGTGAGAGAGGGAACCAAAAGAAAGCAACTTGGACACATTGGTCAGTTGGGTCTGTCTCCAAAATCGGGAGCGCCCAAAGCGGGTGCAGTTGACACTTTTGGCTTCGCGGTTTGCAAGATCCCCCAAAGGACAACTCTCGGAAGGTGCTGAAGGTGGAGAATAAGAAATCCGCCTCGTCGCCCGCCGAACTCACCGCCCGTTGCGGGGCATCGTCCTCGCCTGTGGCCGCCGCCAGCGAGCCTCCAAGCCTCAGGTCGTGGGAGAAATGTTGGGCTCAGTCGCCATTTTGGTGGCTGATCATGTTCTTGTATTCAGGCAGGGTTTAAGTGCGTTGCAGGCAGCTGGGTTAAAGTTGATCATGTTCATCTGCTTGGTTGCAAGCAGGCGAAGTTGGGACAACCAGACCCAGAACCGAAAACTCGTTCGAGGCTTCAAATCTCTCACGCATGTCGCCCGGCTTCATCTTTGGGAGGGTGCCTCTTTACCCGGAAAAAAAAAGAGCTTGAGATCCTAGCCATCGCCAGCTAACAAGCCACGTGCACCTAGCCCAGTGCTTCCTTCCATCCAGTATTCCTCGCCGGTTTCTAGATGACACCGGTTCTGCTCGCATAAGCAGAACTGGGCAATGAGCCGGGTGGCACCCGTTTTTTGTACACATGTCTCCCAGTTCGCTTCCAGTTGCCAACATAGTAGGCAACCAGGCATCCCTACCAGCGTCTTTTTAGCATCCTTGATGGCAACCGGAAGCCCCGGCGAAATTGCGCCCTTGGACATTGAGTGAGTGCCCCATAGTGCCCCTGCCACCTCCAGTAGAGAAGTTAGAATAAGGGTACCCGATTTTTTTCTGCAGTCTATTTTAGTAGGGGAACCTTCCCAACCCAAAAAGGGGAGAGAAGGGTGGGGGACCTAGCCTGGTTTTGGACATGTCCCCCGGCGCGCCTTCCGCCGGATCTCGGGCCTGCCGCTCGCAAGCGAGCGGTTTGGCCTCGCCGAGCGCGAGGCAAACGGCCCCGTAGGCTCTGGGGTGGAAAGTTGGCCCGGAAAAGGAACACCACAGGAAGAGCTTTCGAAATGGCAGATATGTTAAGCTCGGCTGGGAAACCGATCCACTCTGAAAGGTCAAAAGGACAGGTTCAAGCCTGGGATTTAACCCCTCCATCCCTCAGGCAGTGGAAGCTCCCCTGCGCGAAGAGGAGGAAGTCCTTTTGCGGGTATTGCTGGCTTCCATGTCATGAGGAGGAACAAAACCATTTTCACAAAGCGATTGCCAGCCAAAAGTCACATGCTCATTCCCTGCCTATCGAAACAGTCAGGTTCGGAACAAAACACAACATGAACTACGACCAGCTATAACGGACACTTAATGCGCTTTTCCACTATCACGAGGGCACACATGTCGCCGATGTGATCAAGGCAGTCGCTGGAAAGCTCCTCGCCGCAATCAAAGCGATCTGACACCAAGGTAGCCGGGTGTGACGGAATCGCATGATTTACTTTTTGCGAACCATGGAAAACAATTGACCTGAATGGCACCCCAAAACTACCCCAAAGGGTGGTTTTCTTACAGGGTGCCAAACTTCTGCTTCCGATTGAAACTTAGTTCTTCACTTGGCATGGCAAGAAAAAACAAACATTTCAGAACTCTTTTCAAGGAACACCCACCATTTTGGGCGGTCCCTCAAAAGAATCACACCCACCGGGACCCCCTATCGGTGAATCGATCCGATCCGCGCTCGCCTCGCGCCGGGTCATTGTGACCTGCGGGAGAGGTGACTCAACCCCCCCCCCCTTTTGCGCGGGAACACACAAAACATCAAAAAAAAAGTTGAGCAGCAAAATAACACAAAAGCTGAAGCCTAAAAATGACGATTTCTGAAAAAATGAAGCAAAACAAGTCCAAAATAGAAGCCAAGCATGGGGGGTGGAACCCAACCACTACCAGGGCGCCGAACCTTGAACCGGGTTTCCGGCGTCTTGGGTCTCGGCCCGGATTCCCTGTCGAGTCACGTCGAGTCGCGGCTTGATATTGGCGCGTTTGTCAACGCTGTTTCGAACTGCCCTGGAAAAATCGGAAAAGGATACTGGAAACAATAAAACGTTTGGAAAAGGAGGAGAATAGTTTTTATTAAACTCTTCGAACAACGAAGAGTCAGGCAAAAACTTCCATGGGGACTCAAACAAGACTTCCGTTTGCTGGACGAGCTCGGGCTGCCAATATCCTTTTCTCCGCGGGGGACCGCTATCAAATGATGTTTTCAGCCTTTGGACAATTTAGTTTTGGCTTGCTGGTGCTCAGCAGGGAATGAGAATTGGAATGAAATGGGTTGCCCTAGTGAAACATGGGTACCAAAACCTGTGGTTTGCCCCTCCGATCGAATTTAATTTTGAGCCACGCCCACACCTAGCTGACCCTGATAAGCCATCCCTTGTGGTTTCCTTTGAGGGAATCCCAGGGGTCATTCCCACATTCCCTACCTCTCGCATCAGCAAGAAGAACAGGGAGCCACATCTAGCTGACACGGCCGCCTCTGCGCCCATCTTGGCCAAGACCTCCTGAGTGCTGCAGGGCATCACCTCGGTGAGACCGATCCGATGGGGAAATCAAGCGAGCGATCCGCAAAAATCAACCGGCGGGGGGGTTGTTGTGGTCTCCCTTTCAAAACAAAGGGGATCCCCTTATTAAAAGAACAAAAACAACAGCAACAACAAAGCAAAACACAATAAAACCAATCAAAACAACAAAACAACAAAACAACAACACAACAAACAAAGAAACCAAATGCAACGGCCACGATTCAGCTGCCCAAACAATGACACTGGAAGTCGGCGGGGGTCGGGGAAAAAACAAAAACCAAAACATGGCTGGTTCCTGTTTGCACCGGACCCTGCTTTGTAGCGCCTTTCTTGTGCCGCTTTCAGGGTATGCCCGAAAAGGGGCCTGGCTCGTTTCTTGACCGCCCATGGAGCCTCTTGACAGGCCCTCCTCGGCCGCGGTTTTCGGGAGACCATACTTGGCACCCCTTTGTCGGATTTGACGTGTGGCTCGTCTTTGTCTGGAAGTGGGCAGGATAGGTTTGGACGACCATACCTTGTCCACTTCCATGAAGGTCGGAGAAACATAGGGAAACTTACAAGGCCAAGGCCGCCATTCCCTGGGATCCGTTCAGAAGTTCATGATGAGGTGGGTCATTCCCATGGTTTCGACCGCGTTCAACTGGAGTTGAGTCTGCAGGGCGGCTCTTGTTGGGGACAGCCTCGAGCTAAGGCGGAAAAAGTAGACTTTTCTCAAAACATAAGATATCAGGTAGACAGCCCTAGGATGACATAAGGTTGAGAGACAACACCCACACGAGAAGGTTGAAACAGACCAAAGCCTGGAGGGGGCAGCTCCATTGCCCCGATAGCTATCGGCGCTCCACAAACGAGGTCTTCAAATCCGGAAGCCACCCCAAAGGCCATGAGATCTGTTGCAAACCTGTGCAAGGTCCCTATAATTTCAGTACATGGCAGACCATTTGAAAACCAAATGCAACGCTCGTGGCTGTTTTGGGCAACTTTGGAGGGGTCCCTGCAATACAACCAAGAACCACCTGGTAAGGGGGAACCCCTTTTTGGTTGGTTTTACAGGGGAACCAAAAGGACAACCACCATGTTGTGAATCCCGTAAAAAGGACGCCACATGTTGAAACCCTTTGACACTGGTAAATGTGCTCTTCAGTTTTGCCAACATGTATCTTTTAACAGGAGAATTCAACAGCTCAGCTGCCCAGTGGCCATGGGGAAAAAGGGCATCCTTTTGTTGGTTGGTTGATTTGAGAAGGGAACCCTTCCCCCAAAAAAGGGGGCCCCACCTCACCACCGGGCAACTGCGACAGTTTGCTCTTCGATTTCAGCCCCAAGGAGCCACGGCCTTCAGTCATCTACCTTAACTGGGCGAAGCTTCATGGGCTGTTTAAAAATCCAAATCGTACCCCCTGTGAACATCCGATTCAATCCCCACTAAAATAGGTTCCAAAATGGGCAAAATGGGATCCCAAAACGGTTTTGACAACCACAGCCATGGTTGCAGGGCAAAAGCTTGAAACAGCACGCGCGAGGCCTCCACTTGACCCATGCGTCTCCAAAGCTACACCTCTTTCCAAAAGTGTAACTTATAGCAACTCCTCCAATGTGTGGCCCCTGGAACATAGTTTTTTTTTTTTTCTTTTTTTTTTTTTTAACGGCTCCAATTTGTGGCCCATGGAACATTCAAGAGGCAAACAACAAAAAGCGGGGCCTCTACACATTCCCCGCGTTTTGTTGGACATTGACACTTGAGCCGCCGGGCTCCCTTTCCCGACCTGGCGGTCTGGCGCTGCGGTTTG